TATCGCTATAAATCATGTGATTATGGCCGATTTTCTGGGTTCAAGATCACAACTTCAAAGAAACAAAAAGTACTATTTGACTATGCTAACACCACCCCAGTAGAGGTACCCTATTTTCAGACAACCCCATTTAGATTTCACAGAGGCGTGTAGCTCCGATGTTCGGTTTGCGAATTTGACAAGTCTAAATGAAGCATAAATCGACATATTTACTAAAAAGCTTTGGTAATTTAGTAGCCTTAGTAGACTACAGACCCTGGATCTGAGGATGCGCTGCAAAAAGATGCCACCACAGTTGCGAGAATGGTCCGGGCACTCAAACGGATAAAACGGGTTGCCCAGTTGGGATCCATCCTGATCTATCCCATTGAACATGAATGATGCGCCTCCATGTTCGGATGATTTTCCTCTTGAACCTTTCAACTTCTGGGTTGAAATTGCTGTCATTTTGATGCACGTCGCTACATGTTCATATTCAAAATTTGGGTGTAGTATGATGTAGTATGCCCCAAGCTTGCGGCTGAAGGAGAGAAAGAGAGAAAGAGAGAGAGAGAGAGAGAGAGAGAAGGAAGAGAGAGAAGAGAGAGAAGAGAGAAGAGAGAGGAGAGAAGAGAGAAGAGGGAAGAGGGATAAGTGGAAGAGAGAGGAGAGAGAGACGACCGAGGCCCGCGTATCACGAGCTCAAGAAGGAAATTGAGGATTTTCAACAGGTGCGAGCCGTGCAAGGTTTGCATTTTTTTGATATATTTGATATTTTAGTTTGATCATGTTTGATCTAAAAGAATGGTACCCTGCTGTTTATGATGATTTTTAAAACTCTCGTTTTGGCATGTTTGTCCTTCATGTTTTGGACGAACCTCTTCAGACACCTGTTCTTGTCGGAGACTTGTTTGTATGGAGACCAGCGGATTTTGATACCCAACACAAATTCCAACCCGACCTCAGAATAACAACATTAGGTTTGGCAGGTCAACGGTCAACCTCTCAATGCTATGGTGACGGGGATACCAGCGATCATTTATCCACTTTGAGATAGCTTAAGCATACATGCAGCTGGTTGGTGATTTCAAACATAGTACATGGGATAATCCTTCCATTTTCATATTTTTCAACATGGTTACCCTCTGGTAAACAAACAGTTTGCTATTGAAAATGGCCATTTAGTTCGTGGATTTACCATTAAAAATTGTGATTTTCCATAGTTTTTTGTATGTTTACCAGAGGGTAAAACCACCAACCAGGCAGTGTCAAGAATCGTTTTGCCAATGGATTGATATTTTTTCAGGACACGTGAGGGTTGCAACCCGGTTGGCTCCGTCATTTTGATTCATGTTGCCCCGAAAAAAAAAGTGCCCAAAGAGGATCCGTTGAACATCTATGAAGCGTTGAAATGTTGTGCAAGGTACTTCCTTTGCTCATGGAACTATCCAAGAAATCGATCCAGCAACGACACTGGCAGCAGGCGTGGCTGCAGGTCGAAACATCGAGTTAGGATTGGTTGAAGGAAAAACATGTAGGACCGCCCCCCCCGGTTTAATGGGAACACCCATGGCGTATTCTCCCTTCATCTCAATGGCAAGTGACGTTTTCAGAGCCAAAGAAAGGGACTTTTTGCACGTTTTCATGCAACTTTTAGAGAACCGCCTCTATTTTTGTTGGTTCTGGGTGATATTCCAACCTGCTAGAGCCTATTGGGGACATCAAAGGTTGGCTATGTTTGCGGCAATGTTTAAACAGAAACCAAGGTCCAAATCTGGTTGGTGGTGACTGGAACCATGGAATTTTATGACTTTCCATTCAGTTAGGAATTTCATCATCCCAACTGACGAACTCATATTTTTCAGAGGGGTAGGTTGAAACCACCAACCAGAAATCCAATCTGTGTTTTTTATTTGTGTTGAGTGGGGGCAACTGCCGTGTCCGATGAAAATTCTGCGTTGAAGCAACAGCTCAAGGCTCAAGATGATGATAAAGCATACAAGCTATGCAGACGAACTGCAGAGACGAGATTGACAAACTGTATGATAGTGATAATGTTTATGACTGTGGTATGGTATTGTTTGTGTAGATATATAGGCCATATATTTAATATATAGGTCCAGGCATGATAATGCAGGATATGGATGGATATGTTTCTAGTTTTTCCCCACCTGCCAGGTGAGGGTTGTTAGATTTTATGTCAGTTGCCTCCTCCTCCTCCTTCTCCTCCTTCTCCTCCTCCTCCTCTCCTCCTCCTCCTCGTCCTCCTCGTCATCCTCGTCCTCCTGCTCAACTGCGACCCTCGACGCACAGTGTTCTCTGTCGGACCTCAACCACGACCATCCATGCTCAGTGTTCCCTGCCGGACCTCAACCACGACCATCCACGCCCAGTGTTCCCTGCCGGACCTCAACCACGACCATCCACGCCCAGTGTTCCCTGCCGGACCTCAACCGCGTCCACGTGTTCCCTGCCGGACCTCAACCACGACCATCCACGCCCAGTGTTCCCTGCCGGACCTCAACCGCGAGTATCCACGCCAAGTGTTCCCTGCCGGACCTCATGAGATATGCCAGATAGAATGCCAGAAGATATGCCAGATGGAATGTTAGATAGAATGCCAGAAGATATGCCAGATAAAATGCTATGAGATATGCCAGATAGAATGCCAGAAGGTATGCCAGATAAAATGTCAGATAGAATGACACAAGATATGCCAGATAGAATCCCAGAAGATTTGCCAGATAATATGCCAGAAGATATGCCAGATAGAATGCCAGAAGATATGCCAGAACATATGCCAGAAGATATGCCAGATAGAATCCCAGAAGATTTGCCAGATAATATGCCAGAAGATATGCCAAAAGATATGCCAGATAGAATGCCAGAAGATATGCCAGAAGATATGCCAGAAGATATACCAGAAGATATGCCAGATAGAATGCCAGAAGATATGTCAGAATATATGCCAGAAGATATGCCAGATAGAATGCCAGAAGATATGTCAGATAGAATGCCAGAAGATATGCCAGATAGAATGCCAGAAGATTTGCCAGATAGAATGCCAGAAGATATGTCAGATAGAATGCCAGAAGATTTGCCAGTAAGAAAATGTAAAAATGTCACGGTGGGGATCACACGAAGTAAAGTAATTTTTTTAAATTTTTAGATATCAATACCGGCGCACATGTTTCAGTGCTTCAGTTTCAACATTTTGCATGACATCGTCGTGGTGGCGACTCTTTCCTGGCACATTGGCAATCATTGGTCCGCTAGGTGTGTGATATGAATAACCTGCGCACTCTGAAGAAGAGACATATATACCCTCTGGTAAACGAACATAGCCATGGAACATATCCATCTTCATATGTAAACAATCTATAAATTGGACCATCTATACCATAGCTAGTGGATGAATGATGATACACCATCGCCCCTTGCAGGTTGATTTCTTCGATACCCAATTGTATATACCCATAGAAAATTCTTTTGTGAAAATCAGAAAGACAGTGATTTGCCATGATTTGCCACTATTTCAATCTATTTCATACTCCATTCCCGCAACAAAAACGCTCTCTACCCTTCGGTAAACTAACATAACTATGGAAAATCGCCATTTTTTATGGGTAAATCCACGAACTAAATGGCCATTTTCTATGTCGCAAACTGTTAGTTTACCAGAGGGTGAATTTTGAGGGCTTGTCATTTTGTGGATGGAATTACTCAACTTCAATCCCTTCAATCTCGATGTGCATCCTGGTCGTTGCCCTACACTGCCATCCGCGCTTTCCCTTCATTTGCGCACACAATCGGGATGAGCGCCTTGAAAATGAAGGGCTCAGGGATCTTCATGAAAACTATGGCGGACTATGGATCAATACCTCAAAAAATTACATATATTTGTTAGGGGGATGAATGTGATCTTCACATCCATAAAATTCCATAAATCCCAGCTATTTTGTGAACAAAATAGGGCTAGAAAATTTGGTGAACTTCTCATCCCCACAGAAGTTGGACTAATCCTGAGACTTCAGGGTGTGACGATCCAACGGGACGATCATGGTTAGGATTCGGGGAATCATCCCCAAATGGCCGCAAGATTCAGGTGTGTGAAATATTATCATTTACCCAGATACAATATATATATATATATAATGTTGCATGAAGACAAATTGGACAAAGCAAAGTCAGCAGCTGATACCCCCTGGTAAACTAACAGTTTGCTATTGAACATGGCCATTGAGTTCGTTGATTTACCAATTAAAACATGGGGATTTTCCATAGTTATCTTTGTTTACCGGAGAATGTATGTATATATATATATATATACCCTCTGGTTATCTAACATAGCCATGGAAAATCACCATTTTTAATAGGTAAACCCAGGTAAACCATCTATAAATGGGCAATTTTCCATGGCTATGTTAAATAACCAGAGGGTATATATAATGTGTACATACCTCGGTTTTTCGCCGGTTTATTTTTTGAGGATGTGATGGGTAAAAACGTGCAATGTCCCAGTACAAGGGGTCATTGTCATTGTTAAGTTGGATGCCAACTAGGGGTTAAGCATAATTTGACAAACATGATGTGTATTTATCGAGTTAACTCCCTTTTTGGATCTGCAACACCTCTTTTGGGTAAACCCCAAGTCACATTTACAAATCCCCATGTTTGGATATAAGTTGTTTTTGTTTTCTATTGTTAAACTGTATTATTCACATAGCCAATCATTACTTATATATGTTGGCTAATAAGTTATACAGCATGGCTAACAGCTATCCAGTACTATATAAACCACAGTTATTTTTATCAATTGAATACCAAATTCTACCAACTAAGCAATTATTATATATAACCATTCAGCTCTTATTATTTAATATGATGAACCACAGTTCTATATTTCAATGCTTGGGTTTAAGGGAAATAATAGAGTAAACAAGAGTTTTTACCATGAAATATGGAGGTTTCCTAGAACATTTCCAAAAAAACAATCCAATGAATATCAACTAAGCAGTTGAATGATACCAGCGGCATCAGACCTGAGGCAACGCGCGCGCCCCTCTCTGGAAGATCGTCTGGAAAGTGGGGGCCTCCTACGTGGCCGCGATGCGTTGGCGGGAGGAACGGTCTTAGCACTGCAGGTGGGAAGTGTGGAAAAACCCGTGGTTATTGGAGATGTTTACTGGGTTCTACAGTGATTTTGCCTAAGAAATTGGATGTTGCCACCCAAAAATGGTGTGTTCCATGGTTTACCACTTGAAAACATGGGGACGTAGACCAATTGAGGGTAGAACACGGTGAACTATGTGTAACTAGGATAGCTTCATCCATTGTTGAGGTTAGATTCATGTCTGCATTTACGTCAAAACCACCCAGTTTAGTATTCTTGCCAACGTAGAGAAGCACACCACTTCAACATATTGAAGCTGAAAGCGGTCTGTAGGGACAAGTGCAAGAAACCAAAATTGGATCCTTTTGGAATCAATTCACTTTCCTGACATGTGTGTGCATGCAAGTGTCCCACCAGTCACTGCCAAAAGTTTCCTCAGATGTAGCTCTAAAGTAATCCCATCCTTGCATTTGGCCCTCGATTCCATGGCGTTGCAAGTCTTTCACGTGTTTGAACAGAACATGTCTAAGCATTGAACCTGCCTAGACACTCATCACCATTCACCATATAACATCAATGCTAGGTATAACATGGTATAACTACTTCATCACCATTCAGAACGCCATTCAGAACACCATTCAGAACACCGTTGATCACCGTTCAGAACACCGTGTGCCTTGAGGTTTCCAAAGGAACGCTCTGTGCATTGACCAACTGCCGTACCACGGTGAAATGGCCACAGCAGGAACGGATCTCGCGAGGACATTTGGTGGAATCCTTGGCCAACCATTGGTCAACCACTGATGGACGTGGACGTGGACGACTGGAGGGGTTCATCAAGGACAAGAAACTGGACCCCTTCCATGTGCTGGTGGGAAATATCTTTCAGGATGGGATTGGGCATGGTATTGGGATGATATTGGGATGATTTTGGGATGGGGGTGAGGGCATAAGATATCTTAAGAGGAACATTGATGGTGGCGTTGTATGGCTTCGGAGCGAAATTTGCGATGCAGTGTTTCCCACTGTTGGGCGCTGCTTGATGACTTGTGCCAGATGTTGACAGCATCTCACCAGAAGGTTGAATTTGTTGTGTGCTTAGCTCATTGAGGTTACCTTTGTACGTAATGAAATCATCACTTTCAAAGGAAGACAACCAGGGCCGGGAGATCAAAATCTAACACTCAAAATTCATGTACCAAATTACGCCCAGGTGAAATGCATCGAAGTTAGAAACGGACTCCGAGTAAAAAGACCAGAAGTGACCCCTAGGCATAGGCACCCAGCAACTTTGTCCTGAAACCTCACCATTTCAGCATTTGTTCCGTTTTTTTTCCGAGGTTTTGAAACCAAAAAAATGCCAACGATTCCGAGAGAGATATATATATAATATATATATAGTATACTCAGATATCATCCTGTTTGCAGTGAGTTTTTCCTCATTTTCATTTTCCCATTTTCCCCCATGGTTTCCCCATGGTTTTCCAGGAGTCCCCAGAGATGCACTACGTTTGGAAAGCCCCGTTCGAGGAGACTCCGGAGACGGCTCCACAAAGCTGTCGCTGGGCGTCGGGCGGAAGCGTTTGGAAGCATGGCATCTTCGTGATTTCCAATGAGTTGCTGGGCAGAAATCTGGATTTTCCATGGTTTTCCATGGTTTTCCTCTGAGTGAACTAACAGTTTGCTATTGAACATTGCCTAAATGGCCTATTTAGGTGATTTACGGATTTACCCATGAAAATGGTGATTTTCCATAGTTTTTTGTATGTTTACCAGAGGGTATTTAGCAGACTAGGGCAATCTTAGATGGGTAGAAACTAATCCTTTAGTCTTTTGGTATGGGATTATTGCGAACCAATTCAGCTGATGTTTTTGGGATGTTCAGATGGCTTGATGAGTTGCATTCCCAGTTGCAGACTGAGTCTTCGAGCCTGATTTCGTGTGCAGAAACTATTGCAAAGACTGGCTTTAAAAGATTCATGAATCTGATGAATCATATTGAAACTGACAAGTCTTAGACATTCATTTGATAGCATATACATCATCTGCACATGCATACATATATATATATATATATGTGTGTGTGTATGATATGTGTGTATGTACAGGACATGTCAGTGATGTAACATAACATCCACAAAATCAAGAACGGACAACAGCCTTTTTTCGCTAACCTCCATCCCATTTTTGTCGCCATGGCCGCTCGGTGTGATCGCCCTGAGCATCCGAATCCTTTGTTCCAGCGGGAGACGTGGATGAACCTCAATGGGCCATGGCAATTCGCCATATGTCCTGAGAAACTGCAGTTTCCTCCGCGATGGGAGGGCACTCTTCAAGCGCCATTCTGCTTACAATCGCCTTTATCGGGGGCACTGGATCAGCTATCAGCTGAGCGGAAGATGCACCTGGGATTGCATGGTCCTCCATTGGCTCCAGGACTTCCAAAGAGAAAAGCCTTGTGGTATGCCAAATCCCTGGTGCTGCCCGCCGAGTGGAGCTTGGAGGGCTCGGAGGTGTGGCTTCATGTGGGCGCCTGTGACTCATATGCGGAGGTCATGGTGAATGGAAGAAGTTGTGGCACCCACCTGGGGGGAAATACGCCATTCAGCCTGAATATTACCTCAGCACTGCGAAGTGATGGAACTGATGGAGAAGTGAAGATCAACATCAAATGCACCGATTCCTCAAGTGTGGATAAGCCAGCTGGAAAGCAGCTCTGCAGGCCAGGAATCTACAAGGGCAAGGGCAATCTCGGGACCCTTTATTCAAACATCACTGGCATTTGGCAAACTGTCTGGTTGGAGGCCCGTTCCCAGCAACACCTGGCTGGTTTGCAGATGGTGGCCAAATTGGAGGAATTGGATCAGTGGCATCTGGAGCTGCAAGCAGAAGTCGCCACCAAAGCTGGGGAAACTGTGGAACTGGTGGCTACTCTCTTCACAGATAGAAGCTGTAGAGATCCGATTTGTCAAAGCTCCACATCGGTCAATGACGCCAAGAACGTGGCCCTTCAACTCTTGGTGCCCCAGAAAGAAACGAAACTCTGGTGCCCGGAAAATCCGCATTTGTATGGTCTCCAGCTACATTTGCAGAACCAAAGAGGGGAAATGGTGGACAGGGTCACCTCCTATGCTGCCTTGAGAAGTGTCACCTGCCATGGAGACCAGATCTGCTTGAATGGAAATCCTACTTTCTTGCGGCTGGTCTTGGATCAAGGTTACTACCCCGATGCCTGGATTTTGCTGAGTCAGGGGCCAGGGATGATTTTCTCGAAAAATCCACCGGTTAAATGGAGAATCTACCGAATCTACCGAAATTGCACAAGAATCAAGCTCCTAGTCATTCCTAGTCATACTTCAATAATCTTCAACATGTGATTTCATATTTTTCCGGCTTGGCAAAATTTTCAAAATCAAGGATGGCTTGTGGACAGCCCCTAGTTCTGATCATCTGCGACAAGACATTGTGCTGGCGAAAAAGCTGGGCTTCAATGGTGCGCGACTCCATCAGAAAGTCTTCGAACCGCTGTATTTTGCACATGCCGACGAACTGGGCTTTTTGGTCTTCTGCGAGTCTCCTGGCTGATATCTGCTGATTTAGTTTGCAGAGTAACTCAGCATCTTTTTTTTTCCAATTGGAGCCACCAAAACTGGGGAAATCTCAGATGGTAGAGGAATGTTTAACAATATATATATATAATGTCCCCACATGATTTCAATGTTTATTGTGTTGATATGGTTATGGGTCAAAACTCTGGCACCCAAACGGTACCCCAAAATAGCTGGGATTTATGGATGTCTAATCCCCTATTCATATGTTAATGTCATATAGGATCTCATAGGTTAATAGGTTTTGACCCATCCCCATATCTTCTCTCAATGGATTGGTTTCAGGGATTGTTTTTCAGGAAAACCCTATATTTAATGGGAAAATCGATGGTTTCCGGTTAAGATTTTCCCTTAGATCAATCCATTGTGATTCTCTTTTTAAAGCTGAAAAGATCAACTTCGAGGTATCCGGATTGGAACGGTGGCTGGTCCAATCGCTGGCAGGTCTCGTCAGCATATCAAAGTTACCTTATGGAGGAATGGGCAACACTGGTGAGACATTTGCAGAATCATCCATCTATCTTGGTCTGGGGCATTTTCAACGAGTTCGGCCCCAAAAACGGCTGGGATAGACACCATGGTCCGGGAGGAGGCTTTAAGAGACGCTACTCTGCCGAAGAGAGTGAGGCCAAAATCCAGAAGCATAAGGAGTTCGTGCAGCAGACCGTGCAGCTGGTGAGAAAGATGGATGGTCAAAAGAGGCCCATCCATGACTCATCTGGATGGATTCATGTATCTACAGATCTATGGAGTTTTCATGACTATGAACAAAAGATAGAGAGGTGGTCGAAAATCCTCTCAGATCCCACCAAGTACCTTGATGGTCGGCAAGGTCAGCCATTGCTCGTTGGGGAGTTTGCGGGTGTTGGATTTGATGCCGGTGGGCCATATGGCTTCAATGACGAGAAATTCTTGCCGGGCTACGTCCAAAGAGGCTACGAACTGCCTGCCACGGCAGATGAAGCCTTGTCGCGAATCCATGGCTTAACAGCAGAGATCTACAAACGTGATCTCTACGCTGGCTATTGCTTCACTCAACTCTATGATGTTGAATATGAAAAAAATGGTCTGTTGAAATACGACCGCACACCGAAATTTCCACTGCCCCAGCTGCGACGGATCTTCGACGGCCGCCTTCAGACCGGGCGATGGCGAAAGCTGCCAGTTCTGCGGGGCAAGCGCTGCAGAAAGCTGCGGCCCTTGAAGTCCCGAGCCCTTCGGAGATTGCGAGCCGTTCGATGCGCAGCAAGGTGTGCAAAAATGTGGCTGCTGCAGATTGCGGTCTCGGGATGTTTAACGGTGTTTGCCTTTTGGCATTGAAATATTGCAAAATATTGCAAATGAAGGCTAAATCTATAGTTGTTTGGGGCATTTGCGGTTTTTTTCTGCACTGAAAAGCTCCTTGAATGCATCAAACATGGAGCTGATTGAAGCATTGGTGAAGTTGTAGGTCACATAGCAGGGTGCCAATTTGGAGAGATCCAGAGCTGCAGCTTTTAGGGATTTTGACATGAATTTCCCTGCCAAATTCTTGTCGGAAACTGGCTTGTTGTCATGACATGTTTTTTTTTCATTTTTTCTGGGGTTTCAATATATAAATTCAATAGAAAACCTAGAAATTAAAAGTTGGGGATTGTTATTACATGTTTCTACATATGTTTATACCATAAGGGCTCATTTTGGGGAAGGTTGATTTCCCCATGACTGCCATGAGCTGCTTGGATTTCAGGAATCCGAGCTATGGTGAAGCGTGGCCAAAGTGTCAGTGGCTTCAACAAGAGCTGAAGAATTTTCTGGAAACTTTGCCCTCAACAGCTTCAGCCAGTGATCTACATGCAGGTTTTTTGGATGCTGGTGGATGGTGGAAAGTTTGGGTGGTTTGGGGGTTGGCTTTTTTGGGGCCGAAAACGGTGCGCCTTTGGTTGCGGATGCCAAGTCTGACATGACTATGTTGATCTGCAGAAATGATGTAGGAACTTCAAAACCCATAGGATCCATGTATGGTATATATATATATATGCTAACATTGGGGGTATATTGATGGTAAATGTTACTTTATATAGCATACATGGATCCTATGGGATATGGTTTTGACTTTGAAGTGATGAAGATCAAGAGCCGGGGATTGTCTTGACCAGCCTTGGATCAACGCGTTGCATTCCTGGGAATTGAAAGCTCACGACGCTGCTTTCATTATGGTTTATACATGTTTATACCAGTTATATATCCCTGAAAAAAATGGATTCCAAAATGGGGTTGGTGTTTTTGGGGCCCAAATGGCGAGTTGAATGGGGAAAAGGGCGAGCTTAACCAATAGATTCAGGCTATTTGATCCTTTTTTGAGACAGACCCGTAATCCCCTAATTTGGATGATCCGTAGCTTCAAGTTACACCTGCCACGATGTGAATCAGCACATTCTGGCGGAGATTTGTCGCCACAGCCATATTTTTCGTGGTAAATCATAGCAATGTTGCGGTTTGTCATTCACAGTTTTTGTCGAACATTTGCAGGAAAGTCATGGAAAGTCCCCAGGAATTTGGTTTAAAACCTTGGTCCTCCTCAATCCCACCCCCCCCGTTCCCCCCGTTCATGGTAAACACCCGCATGATGGTATTATCTGTGATGTCATTCCCGATATGCACCATGGTTTCCGGCGTGATTTTATGAACGTGGGAAGGGATATTCCATATGATAATCTCGGCCCATCCTAGTAAAATATCACAAAATATCTCAATACGATGGCTGAAATACCCATGAAAATCCATGAAATCATGAATTATATCCCAAATACGATCCCACGACATCAGAATGTTCGATGGGTAAACAGGTAAACCCCAAAGGGTACATAGCGCTCTTGGATATCCTAACATCCCATTTTTAATGGGAAGGGATACCCTCTGGTAAATTAACACAACCATGGAAAATCACAATTTTTTAATGGATAAATCAACTGTAACTGGCCATTTTCAATGGCTATTTTGACATAACCAGAGGGTATCCCATGTTTTCCCATGAAAAATCCGAAAAAATCAGGCCTCGCTTCGCTGATGTCGCGCTATGATGTGCCCAAAGTGATGCCTCCGCAGCGGTTGCCCAACTGGTTTCCGGCGAGCATCGAAGCTTGGAATGGAGAAAAGGGGGCGGATCCTTTGAGGGAGATCCCCAACCTAAAAATGGAGTTAAACCGTTTATACATGGGAAAACCATCAACAGGTTTTCCAATCAACTGGAGAGGATTTTTTTCACATGATGTAACATGATTTGATGATCAAACGACCTGATTTGGATATCAAAATTGGAGAAGTTCATGGCCCCTGGGATTTTAGCATGGAACATTCTTACAAATTCGGCTCCGAGAATTTGAAAACATGATGCGCCTGTATCACCGGTGCGGGTTTATTGATGGGTATAACTTTATAATATATTGGTTATCAATAAACCCAACTAACCATGGTTTATATTACCTTATATTACCTTATTGACATCATGGTTTATAACTTTATAACCATGCTCATCACTGTAATCACCTCCATAGGTCGGGATATAATCCCCTTATAGCCTTATAGAGGAACTGCAGCTCCAAGTATTCCGCCAGGAGAAGATGCTCCACTCTGGCCCTTTCTGCCCCTGGCGTCCGGAACTTCAGCACTTCGGCACCGTGTCGCAGCGCATCCTCTTCAATCAGGGACGAGTGACACACTACTACCATCGTTCCACCAACCTGCCCAGCGCCAGGGACACCAGGGACACCAGGGATACCTTGGGTGCTGCAGCACCATGTGCACCCGCGCTGGGAGAATGGCAGGAGTTCCAAATCTCCTGGGACCAATCAGAGCAACAAGTGGTGCATCCCAAGCTGTGATGGATATCCCATTGCTCCATGGCTATTTGGATTGCAACATGCACAACAAAAATGGATGATTTTGGGCAGGCTATTTGGATATATTTGGATCAGTTGGGGGTTTTGGAGACGACCCTAGGCCCTCTTGGGCCCCTTTCATCCCTCTTCACCATACGCGCCTCCCATTGTGTTGATGGATCCCTGCGGAAGCAAAAAGATGGTGGGTCTCTGGGAGTTCTCAATGAGACATAGGAGAAGTTTTGTCATGCAGGCTGACGTGAAACTGATATTTATGTCGCTTATGACATCATACATCTTATGACTATCAAAGATACCTTTAGCTGGATGCTAAGTATTCCCACCGTGGCTGTGCTCATTTCGAAAAAAATATGGAGGAATTCACCAGTACATCTGGCTACTCTACCCTCTGGTAAACTAACATAGCTATAGAAAATCACTATTTTCAATGGGTAAATCAACTATAACATTGCCATTTTCAATAGCAAACTGTATGCTTACCAGAGGGTATACGGTATACCTATTTTCCGAATCTGCTTTCACCTTCATCGAATCCGGCTGTGTTTTTTTTTTCGCACCAGGTGAATGACATCACCGGGAAAGATTTGCAGGCGATGTGTCTCAGGGGGGAATTCCATGAGGCTGATGAATGCAAGGAGGTTTCCACTTGTGATCCATGAAAATGGATGAAAATGGTGCATGTATATATATAATACATATATATAATACATATATATATATAATATATATATATATAATATATAATATATATAATATATATATAATATATTTAATATATATAATATATATAATTTAATATAATATATAATATAATATAATATAAAATATATCACATATATATATATCTCTCTCTCTCATATATATTCTCCAAATGACCATTTCAATGTGGAAAATGTTTGAACATGTGCACCATCACCATCAATCACCTATTGGAATTAGGGGTATCGTTGTCTCAAACAGGGCCACATCAGTGTTCTTCCTTCTCAAAAAGTGGCGATCACATCCTTTTTCTGATGTCCCTTAAGCCGCGAAAAAAACGGGATCGGTGAATCGGTTTCACATCTCATCACCTGAAAAAAGCGGGATCGATTTCACTGGTCACCCTGGATCTCAGTGAGCCAATTTTTCAGGTGGAAAGAGAAGATTTCAAGCTGCAATCCTTGATCGATGCAAAGCTGAATGACTTCAAGGCCAGGCACTTTCGGTAGCTGATGACTGCCCTTAGATTTTTAGATTTCACATGATTATGATGGGAATCTGAGTAAAATATCGGCAAATCTACCTTTTTCGTTTACAGCTTTTTACAGGGTTTTTGATTGCGTGCGTAGACTTCGAAGACGCAGAGTTCCATCTCGTTTTATCCAAGTTCATGACCAAAACCCAGCCAGATCCAGCCAGGATGAGATTAACGACATCACAGAATCGGCGGACAAACAGCAAATCATCGAGGAGAAGTTGGCTGATATCACAGCGGCAGCCCCAGCCTAGCCCCAGCTTCATGGCAAAGGTTTGGGATAGGTTGAATATGCCCCAAATTCGCAGAGACAAACCAACCATTTTCCCACAAAAAAACAACTAAACATGGTGGACATCTTTGGTTCCTTAAAACCCATTGGCCCTTAAAAAACACCAGATGTTTTCACCTCGTTAAACGTTATACGACAACACCCCAGCGCCGCTATGCTCCGCGAGCGCCGAACCAAGGCCCAATGGCACACCACCTGTTTCGAGTTCAGTACTTGGAAAGGTCGGGAAGTGCCATGCGTCCTGGTTGGGTCGAAGGTCACTGAAATCCAGGAGTCCTTAGAGGCGCAAGACCGATCTGATGGGGTTAGATGTGGTCACAACTTTAAGGTGCTAATGTGGTATAATGTATGGCTTAATAAAAACATGGTGATTTTTTGAAGAAATGATGATTCTATAGATTGATCAATGATAGTTTTTCAATGATGGTCGTTTTGTTTCAGACCCACACAGAATTGGATGCTTAAAGATCAGCGCATTTTTTGCACGAAAGGCTCCATCTCTGACCCCGGGGTCTCGCAATGGCGATTTGGAGGAGACACAGATGATTTTGAACGCCATGAACGTCAGGGTCTTAGGGGATGAGGGCTGTGAAATTTCAGCTGGACTGGAGAACCTGAAATGTTCAGATATCTTCAGCATTCAGTAGGTGAATGACAGGTTATTCTCCAGATAGCATAGTTAGATATAGTTAGCTACCTTGGAGAACAAAGGGAAAGTGAATAAATCAGAAGTCTCCTTGCAGTTGTTCGGGCAGATGCTTTCATTTTGCCCGGACACCGCAACTGAATTGATGTTAAGTGCTGACATGATATACTGTAGATTAGACCTGAATGGGTAGATAGGGTCTATAAATGTCCGAGTTATTTTCATGGTGGAACCCAGTTGCTAACCATCAGGTAGGAAGAAACGACTAATCAAAACCGGTTTCTTTCTATGCTCAGCTGAGCCTTGAAAAAAATGAGGCGCAGAGACAGTCGGCGCCCTTTAAGGAAGAGTTGGTGGCTCCTTGGTTGTTTCAAGATTGGGTTCAAAGGTGATTTTCTTCATATTTTCTTGCGTGGCTACCCCCTGGTAATCAAACATAGCATTTGAAAATCATATATCTGCACTTTTAGTGGGAAAATCATCTATATATAGATGGGGAAATTTCCTGCAAGCCATGTTTGATTTACCAGAGGGTAATATAACTTTTGGGTGTTTCCATACTAATTAGATGCGTGGATAAGCCACTAAGAAAGTGATGCCTAACATAGTGATGACGGGGCTGGTTTCATGAAACATCTTTGGGGGGAATCCATGGGAATTCCGAAAAAACTGGAGCTTGATAGCTTGCAAAATCATCGAACTAGAGGTTTTCCATTGTCACGTTTGACTACCGGATGCTACCAGCAACAAGAGGGAGGAATAGAACCAATTTAACATACTGGAGTGGCCGGTGGTTTCAAACACGTTTACCTTGGCTATTCAACACTGGGATGATAAACCCCCTTTGGTTATTAACCATGTTTTGGCGATGCCTTTGAAAGCGTAAAGCAATGTTGGCGGTGTCCAACAGCTTCCGATTTCCACCAAGAAATCTGGGAATCCAGGCGTGGCCTCAGCCTCGGCCTTTGGCAAATGTGGCAATTTGGCAAGGGGCGACATCGAATATCAATGGACAAACAACGGAGGCTAATCTGGAGGCTACTTATAGCTGGAAAATTCATCTATAATCAGCTGGTCTCTAAAATTTACCACGGTTGATTCTTTCATACACAATGAATTCAACTAGCAGACTTTTCAACACATGTTCCATCCTGATGGGCAATGAGAATTCCAGGATTCCCAGGATCCTGGAATGGAGCTACTACACCTTATATAAAGCAAGCCATGCAACTTGGGGTACCCTAAAATTTTAGTCCTGAAATGTCCTGAATCAGAACATAGACTTACATGGTACCTCCAATAAATCGCTTTTTGAAATGGCCAATGTTCTCACCCACTTGCCCAAGACATGGGTGTTGCATAGAAAAATCAGCGGCCAAGGCGCTGATCACCACTCTCTCAGTTCCAATCTCAGCGCTGTAGATGACGTGCCGTTGCGTTCAACGGATGGCGAACCGCTTGGAGTTGTGTTCAATCTTCACTGGTTGGTGCTTTGGAACATGATTTCTATGACTTTCCAAAAAATTGTGAAAATTACCCTAACTGACTTTCATATTTTTCAGAGGGTTGAAACCACCAACCAGTCTAAGTCGGAACTGGGATTTCAAAAAAAAGTAGGTAATGGTTACCTATCGCACAGCATTGATGAATCGAAGATTGCGTGTTCCGGTCAACATCTGGGACTGACAGCTTAGTGACTTAGTGGTAGCTATTCCAAAATGACCTGATTTCAAGTGAAACTCGAGACGCTTCTTGGTCACTGAAAACTAAAACCATCCATTTATGTTTGTTGTTTTTCCGCAAGTTTTCAGCTTGAAGTCGTCAGCAAATGCTGACGGACAAGTTGTTTCAGCTACCATCTCTTTGATAGCTGCAGAATCTTGGACTTTCATTGCCTGGAACCAGGGGAAGACGGTGGTGAATTGCTGCTTGATTGTTGATGTCATGCCATAAATGTGACGAGCGGCTTTTTGACAAAGTACCCAAGGTTATGTAAGGTCGGCCACGCGGCATGGCGTTTTAGTTTCATAATTTCTTCCCGTTTCTGTGGTGTTTCGTTTCGCATCAGATGGGTTCGGGTTGGACAAAAACACCAGCCATAGGACCGGGGGCTTGCTTGTCGAAACTAAAGATCAATGGAGATGTCAAGAACCCATCTGATTCAAACTTACCCTCCGGTAAACATACAAAAAACTATGGGAAATCACCATTTTTAATGGGTAAATCCACTGTAAATGGCCATTTTCAATAGCTATGTTAGTTTACCAGACGTTAATGGATATGGATCAGTTCAAGTCATTTGAGATTCAAGTCTCTAGATGGTCTTCGAAAGGGGGATGCTACATGTGACAACGATGTTTTGGCCATAGAAAAAAGTCACGACCCACATAGACGGTTGACCCATGCACAGAAACATCAATGAAACATCCCATTCCTGTCTAATTATATCTATTCCTCCTGTAGGAATGACGGAGGACTGATAGCTGTCTCCTTTGAAGTGTTCTTTTGTTCTTTGCAGTGTAGTGCGGGTATGAATAATCCAATATTGAATAAAATCGAGTTGACTCTAAGGTGCAGGGAAAGTTTGAAATGCTAAACCCACTGCAGCTGGCTCTTTTGGTTTTCATTTCAGCTAGTCAGCCAGTGGCTGTAGGAAGAGAACTGCCCCCCATTTTACATAGGGAGATGTTGTGGTACCATTTTGTGATGGAACAGCGTATTTCAGAGGAGTTTTTGTTGAAGATAAGGAAGGCTGCCAAGGAATTAGGCATGTTCATCATTTGCCAGCTTCAACTACCCACAATTGCGCACTTATGACTTCTGTGTTGCCCTTGGGGTACACGTGGCAACCGGAATTCTGCCTTGTTGCGGATGACTTTTAACTTTTGTTAACAAAATCCTTTCTTGGTGAAAGTTGTGAGTTTTGATTGCCAGACTAAACCACCACAGAGTCATCATGTCATCATAGAGATTCATGCATGTTCCATAATTTTCCTGTTATCACAGCCTGAGGATAAGAGCTTTCATGTCCTCAGAGTTCCAGAGCGATCGCATCAAGTCTGACTTCTTGAGACTTCGCCCGAAGTTCGCAGCCGAACAATTTTGGGGGGTGTCGCTGTGGATGAAACACATTCTTACCATGGAAATGATCCTAGCAAGGGAAAAAAGATCTACCAGTTGCGGATGGCGTTGGGCATGCATATTAGTGGATTGCCAGTACCTAAACTGGGGCTATTGTAGCTATAAAGCCACATTTTCTGGGTATATCCCCGGAGACTTAGACTCCTTAGACCTTCTATATGGTAGGTACCTCCAGTAAATTGGTTCCTGACATGGCCATTGACCATAACCTTTTCACGTCCCAGGAATTTAACCTTTGTGGCTAACGATTACGAGATCAACTTCGACAAGCTCTCGGAGGGGGAAGAGGACGACCAATACACAGGCCCCCTTTTGTGGCGCAGAGAGCGGGTTTTGCCCTGACCTGGGGAGGATACCATTTGGTAATAATGGGCTTAGTAATTGTTGGTAATGGCATGGCTATTATTTATGGTTCATAATTATATATTGGTGAATAATGGCTATATGGCTATGATATGCTATTAATGGTGAGCCTATAGAATGAAAGTCAATTCTTGGGCATGTTTCATGGCCTATTTAGCTGTTGCCAGCTCCAGAATTGGATGAGAAACTTGTAAAAACGCCGTGGAACTACCATGTTTGTTTGTTTTTTTACATCATGTTTTCGCGAAGTTTTGCCGATGAATCGACCCAATGACCATCCAGAATTCACTGATCATTTTGCGGAATTGGAGGAAATATTAAAAACACAGAATGTGGTTAAAATAATAATAAACCATCCGCAAAATCACCATAAATGGGTGGTATTTGTTCCATTCCCAAATGCGTGATTTATGATTGTTTTAACCACATGAATAAACAACCATTTTTGTTTTGAATAAGAATGCCTTAGAGTTGGTGCCCAAAACATATGGAACTTCTCTCAGTTTCCTTGAAGACCATCCTTTTTTTGGGCCATGCACTGGCCCCAGGCAAGTTTCGAGTTCGGAGTCGTTCCGTTCCAGCACGCAGGTCGAAGGAGGCCTGAAAAATGATCAAAACCCATTTTTTTCGATGGATTTTCCAAGATGCCTCCTACATTACAAGGATGAACATGGTCCAAGCGATAGTTTTAGCAGCTGTTTTGATGGTTTCTTGGGGTACCTTAAAAGATAGTGTAATGTTTGGATGGTTTTGGGTTGGATGATGATGTTGATGATGTTGGTGATGTTCATGATGTGTTGGTGATGTGTTGGTGTTGTTGATGCATTTTCCAAATGAAAAAATAAATGCCACCGGTTTCATATACCAGAATTCCCCAGACTCCAGGAGGGAATGGCTTCGCGTCGTTCTTCCAGCATCGGTGAAGGCCTAACATCGCTTTGGAGAATTTTGGAGATAGGTGTCGATGATATGATAGGACCATGGTCCAGTGATTTTCGATTTCCGGAATTATGAGATATTGAGCCAGTGAGGTCTCAGGATTAATCATGATTAATTATGGTCCAATAATCATCCCAACTGACGAACTCATGACGAACTCATATTTTTCAGAGGGGTTGGGTTGAAACCACCAACCAGAAATGTTGAAGCATCATTAACCACTATTAACCACCATTAACCATATGGATAGGTCAACTACCAACCAGTGAGAGATGACCAATTGAGCCGATGGATTCGTTGTTTCGACCCTGGTTTGCTTCGAAGCTTCGGGGCGATGGATTCGCTGATTTCCCCCCAAAGAGTTGATTTACCCGGCCCGGTAAACATACCAAAAAACGATGGAAAATCACCATCAATTAACTATGATTAGCTAATGGATTAACTATGATTAACTTAGCATTTCATGGGTAAACCCACTATTTCTATGGCCATTTTCCAATAAATAGCTTTTTGTATGTTTACCAAAGGGTAGTTCGAATCTCTTGAGCCTCCAAGATCTTCTAAGTTCCCTATAGTAATATATAGTAATTGCGGTCTGGTTATTTCACATAGCGAACTGGAAAATCCATGAAACAAATGGAAATTTATAGCATTTATAGCTGGGAAAATCATCTGTAAATGTGCCATTTTCCATAGCTATGTTAAATAACCAAAGGGTAATCAAAAATTCTGGTCTCAATTGCCATTAGAGGTTGTAAAACAAGGGAGGTATGTCCGCATGGGCGCAGACAAAATACTCCCTTATACTCCCCCTCATGTAAAACCCCCTGGTATTCTAATATGTATTTTTCTGGTTGGTGGTTTGGAACTTTTTTTTTCATATATTGGGAATAATCATCCCAATTGACTAACATTTTTCAGAGGGCTAGGTCAACCACCAACCAGTTTTGCTATGAATTGTTTCAGCCAGCCATGGTCTGATATTTGAACCACCAGCTAACCGTGGTGCAGCGCACCACAGGTCGGAAGTCCCAAGGGAACGATCGGTTCGGGCCTTGAGAAAGGGCAAGGGTGGACATGCTCGGCCTTTCCGCAGTGTTGATCGGCAAGACATTTTTCACAGGTTGGTGGTTTGGAACATGAATTTTATGACTTTCCATATATTGGGAAAAATAACCCCAACTGACGAACTCATATTTTTCAGAGGGGTTCAAACCACCAACCAGGTCATAAGACTTGCAGAAATCATGTGATATCAATAGCAAATCAGCGCAAGGATATGATTCCAGTGGTTCGTCATAGGGTTTGACGGTGTGTTGAAGAGATGCGACATGATTTTGATGGATTCTGCCCGGCATGGTGATGAATTCTCGGTGACTTGACTTGCCACATACGGGTCCGAAGATGGGACATACCCCTTGTAATTGCCATTTAAATGACTATCCAGTGGCTAGGAGGGAGCGATTTGGAGGTAAGGGTATTCATATTCCCTATATATTCCCTATACAATGGGGAGCACATGCGGAGCTACAAATCGAGTTTCCCAACCATCTAATAGATGAGGATCATGGTGAGGGCAAAAATCCTGATCGCAATTAGGGGTAGCCTATTTTCAGACCCATATTTATTCGGGCCCTGGTCATGAGAATTGGCTTCGAGCCTTGTAGATATGTTTTGACTCTACAGCCCAAATCATCCATGCTGAATTTCAAAGTTAGTGGAGCTTGAATGAGCAACAATACATGGAAACATGCTCGGAACCACAGAATTTTGTACCCTGGTATTTTCCAGCAAGTCACAAAGCAATGGTTTTTGAAGATCGGGTAGCCTCCAAAAGCTTAGTCAGAATTTGCAGTAAATTGGTCCCAGCCTTCATCTTTACTGGTCGTCATCCCCAGTGTTGCTGCTTGAATTTCCAACTCTGGCAGGCATGCTTCACATTTTCATACATTTTCCCATCGACATCTGAAGATAGGCTTCGCCTAGATCCATTGGTCACTCATCGTTATTGCTACTGTGGACGCACTAGAAATCACAAAATTATCATCATTTACACTCTCGTAATGACTAGCGTAGCTAATTGGAAATTGCCATTTAGTTCGTTGATTTACCTTTAAAAACATGGTGATTTTCCAGTTCGCCAACTGTTCATTTACCAAACCCATGGTGCAGGATTTCTTCCACATGACATGGCCACATCTCACCACCAATATCAGGTCTTCCAACATTCCCCAGCGACAAGGCGACGATCATGACCGTTTTTTGAGTTTTGGTGAAGAGATGTGGAGAGATATCATGTGCACATGGTAAGTTGCTAAGTTTGCTATATCTATATCTATATCTATATCTATATATATTTAAATATGCATATATATATACATATATATTTATATCTATATATATATATTTTTTTTAAAACTATATACATAGATATAGATATGACTAATTAACTAAATAAACGAATAAGTAAATAAATAAATAAACATACATATGCACATACATATACATCCATATATATATATAATTTGTAGGGCTGTCCAGCGGAACCAGTTTTTAGAATTTGTTTTATGACCGCTACGGGAGCAGTTCCAATTTCGCGAGAAAAACGGCTTTGCATTTGAGATTCAATACCTAGGCCTGGGTCTGAACCTGGTTGACGAGATTTTGGGGCTTTCATCACCTCCCAAACAAATGGCACCCCCAAAGATGGTTGGCAATCATAAGTATGTCCATTTTTTAAAACAAATAAACCATTGTGAATTACTATGTGTTAGTAGCGTTGCTCGGACTGTTGTCTGAAATATGTGTTTTCAGCATTATTTTCATCGGCGTGTCTGAAACTAGGATATCCTTGAACTCATTGGTTAATCATCATTTTCTTCTATGGCCATTTTATATAGATGGTATATTGGATGGGCCATTTATCATTTACCTGTTAATCTATATCCATTGGTTTACCTAATATACTGTATTTGATGGCCATTTTCTGGGGGTATTCCGGTATTCTGGCTATTTTCAGGTCACTTCCGCATCGATCCTGGCGGAGGCATTTCCATGGTCTTCTCTGAGGATGAGATGCGGGATTCACTCACTGGAAGAAGGTGCCGGTGCCGGTGGATTTGTTGGTTTTTGTTGGCATAGAATAGAAACCATCAAACATAGGGGGATCCAATTACCCCAACTACCCCAAGGGTTGGCCACCTCCATATGTGAAAATATGTGGGTATAGTGGAAACATCTCCAAGGCTTGTGGTGATTTGTGGTTTCTTTGGGTTCACATACCCTCTGGTCAACATACAAAAACTATGGAAAATCACCATTTTTCATGGGTAAATCAACAAACTAAATGGGCCATGTTCAATAGCTACGTTTAATTACCAGAGGGTAACCAACATATGGGAGTGATTTTTTTTGATGGGTAAGAACCATCAAACGGGGAACCGTCAAACGTGGTGGTTTAACCTAGCATGGGATTAGCCCAATTAGAAAACTTACTCAGGGTAGTGATCACTGAAGAAACATGGGCTTGTTATCACTGGACTTTGCCAGGTTATGCCCGGCTGCCTGAGGAGAATTCCCATTGATTTCTTGATGTAACATCCAATCTTACCACATTTTATGAGCGTGTTAATGTTTGTGTTGGTTTGTTGCTCGACTTCGCCATCTCAACTTTAACGGAGTTTTTCACGCGTCAGAAGATCCAGTTACTGAGCCAGGCATAGTAGCATGGTCTCCGGCACGGCACGAGGTTTGGCCCGAAGTTCAGTGGTGTTTCCACCACCAAACCTATGGTTTTTCCATCAGATTTCCCCTGAAGCCTGGGTGAAGGGAAGATTCCGGGTTGAAGCGCTGTTACTTGAGAGATCCAATTATGGGTGAGATTGGAACCCACCGGAATGAACATTGTCGATAGCTAGTGTAGCTGTCATCTGTCAACGCTGAGAGATTGCTAGGCTTTCACGACCTCACGACACTGGAATGGTGGGTTAAATATGTGTAAATCGAAAAGGGTGGATGCTTTAGGTTGATCTATCATAGTTCTGTATAATTCAGCCAGAGATGGAATATGATGGACTATGATGGATCAGCTGGTCCTCTTTTTGAACGGGTCATATTTGCAGGATTTCCAGGGATTTCCCCTATTGTATCAGATATAATGTACATTTGCTTGGGCAAAAACCATGGTTTCCTGGCATCAATGGATTAGTTTAAGGGGAAACCTACAGGAAACCATAGATTTTCCCGTGAAATATGGGGGTTTCCTGTAAAAATTCCCTTAAACCATGTTTCCTGACATGTTTCTTTAACGGAATGACCCCCAATGACCCACGCGTTCCTGCAGACTCATCTTTCCATGTCTAGTCTGCTATGGCAGTCGGCAGTTTTTTTTGTGCCTCTGGCACCCACCCTGCTGCCTTGATGATAGCGATCACTGGAATGTCAGGCCAGCAATATCCAGCAATAAAAATCGCCAGGGGAACTACAAATTCTCATGTTTCCTGAAGCATGTTTCTGTTTGAGCTTTGGTGATAGCAACACAAACAGCACGATGCATCATAATCATCAGTCTCATATAGTGATTTCTCAAAATGGTGGATCCCCAAAACCAGAGGTGTTAATACCAAAATAATCAAATTTTGGATGAATTGGGGGTACTATTTCAGGAATTTTTATTCTTTTATATCCTGAGCTGATATCACCATGATGTTGGTATGATGGTCATGTTTCAGCTGCGCTCGAAACCACCAGGCAGCAAAAGCAGTGTCCGCGCATCCCTTTCTGACAATGAGCCTGCCCAGAGGCTGACACTGGAAGTGCAGCTGACCCAACTATGGAAGTAGGGAACGTATGAAACAGGTCTTCAATGGTCCCAAAATGTACCTCATATGTGAAGATCATTGTAAATCCCTGCTGAACCATTGTTTGTTTGGCTTTCTGGGTGGTGTATGTGAACAATATCTCCGTAGAGGCATAGGGGTTTTCCCATGAATTTTAGTGTAAAAAAGGAGGCAGTAGAAAATATAGGCCTACCCTACAAGCAATCTTGAAACTGAAAGTTGTAGAATTATTTCTTTTAGAATATGCTGGTAATCCCGGTTTTTAGGTTGCTTATTTTCTGAGCATTATTCCTACCAAAAACAACCATATTCGAATTATTTTCCAGCTTGGCGTTTTCAATAGCCATTTCAGTTACTTGAATTGGAGGTACTTACCGTATTTAAGGCCTATGCAAGGGGGTATTCAAGTCGCTTCGCGACGAATACCGCCCGCACGCAGGGAATAAGACAGAGAGGAGCCGGCTTACTTGGCCCAACCAAAAGCCGACTGCGGTCAAACTTGATCACAAGCCAACTTGTGCCTAACTTGTGCCAAGCTCCAACTTGGGCCCAACTTCAGCCCAACTGGGGTCCGACATGTTGGGCTTAACACACACGAATTGGTCCTGTGTGGGGGCATCTGGCGAAGTTGGGCCCAAGACAGGCCCAATGTGGGGAACATGGCCTTGCATGAACCCTCATCAAACGGAAAAAAGCAGTGGAAATAAATGTAAATAAACATGCAAGATTGGCCCGGGTTGGGCCCAGCTTGGGCCTGGGCTGCCCCCAAAGGGCTCCTCAATTTGCGCTATCTTGTGCCCAACTTGAGCCCAAGTTGATGCTGGATCCAAATGGACCGCAAATTGCAGTGATGTGATGGACATCATGAAAGTCCAGGTCATGTTCAAGATGGAGCAACTTGGGACCCTTTGGCGTCAGCATTGCTCGAAGTGCAGCCCAACGGAGGCACAACATCGGGAACATTGCTCAACATGACGTGTAATTGATGTTAAAGACAAAAAAAACATGGAAAATACCCTAGAACGGGGATGTCGGATTGGGCCGGCCATGTTCCAAGTTCTGAAGCCATGTGGGCCTTAAGTTGGGCCGAAATTGCTGAAGTTGGGGCGAAGTGGGTCCGGGTGGCTACTGTTGAGCCGATGTTGCGAATCGAAACGGTGCATTTGGACGATGTTGTTTCGATCTGCAAAATCCGCAAATTACTTCAGTGAGAACTTTCTTTTTGGTGGCGAGTCGTCATCCGGTTTTTGCCACAAATTACATGGTACAATAACTCATTTTAGAGTCCCGGAAGTAGAGACGTGTGTGGGGATGGTAACCAATCGATTTACAGGAAAAGGATCTGGGGGTGAGCCTCAATGATGCAGCAATGTGTCCAGTAATTTCATGCGTTGACTTGTACATGTTTTTTAATTTCGGGCAAGTCCCTGAGACACCCTAGCAAAAAAACGGATAAGGATTCCCATCATGGGACTCAGCCTTAGCTGAACCTTCGGGATGGCGATGGAGAGAGATTCTGGATGACTAGAAACCATATACCATGTTTTGACCCTAGCAGATATATGCAAACTGCATGGCTCTTTCAGCCAACAGAAATCTTACAAGTTCTTGGAGGTTCTACCGCGGATCCTGCAGATTATTAGTCAGGATGACCTTCGGTAAGCATGCATGGCCAGCTAAGAAAATCCCTATAGATTTTGATGGGAGAATCTTCTATAAAAATAAGATTTTTCAATATCCATGTTTGATGACACCGGAGGGTATCAGTCAAACAATCAAAGAATGTAAAATGTACGCAATCTTTGCGGTTCATTGCAGTTTTGTATGGCTTGAGGGGTTGTCCCAACCGGAAATGTCCCTTGCTTTAGCTTCGGATGCTTTTCATGGAGCGCGGATCCAGGTAATGTTAATGTCTTACTTGTTGTATTGCCTTTTGGTCATTTGCATGGCTATGGAAAATACTTATGTTTAATAGGTGAAACATGTACCAGTAACCAGTAGTAATTACCGCACAAGGCTGTAGCGGAAGTTTCAAAGATGGGAAACTATACTGGGCTGCACTCAACATAGTCCAATAGTACCAGCACATTGATTGGATTGGCATGACAGGCTTAGATCGTGGGCTTTAATTACTAGCGTTATTATCATTATCGGTATAGGCTTTGTTTTACGTGGAATGGTGACTTAATCAGGCGATGGCCTTCTTCATGCTCCGATCTTCAAAAGCTTTTCAGGCTTGGAGGGGTTCTAGCGGGCAAAGTCGAAACCTTGCTGCTGTTCCAAGCTGACCTTCTTCATGCAAATTCATTTGCAGTTAGTCAAGAACCAAGCTTTCCAGCCTACCTCCTGCCTTCTTTCAACCCACGCCGCAATGGCCATTCCTCTGTACCCCAAGTATGACTTGGTGTACGAAGAAGTGCAGCAGCTGATTACCTTCCCTATCATTGGGGATGGTCGCTGCTTCTTCCGCAGCATTATCCAGTGGCAAGAAGATCCGCACCGTGCTGCCACGTACTACAACACCGCAAAGCACGCGGATCCTGAGCTGGCGGCCGCGGAGACCAAGAAGGCGGACAAACTCAGGGAGGACGTGGTGGCCTTTGCGGTTCGGCATGACCTGAACGAACATGCAGAGCCAACCGCGGAAGGGTGGAAGGATGAAATGTCCCGGCGGACGGCATGGGCAGATGAGGTGGCCATTGCCAGCTGCAGCGCAATGCTGCAACAACCCATTTTAATTCTGTCTTGGAATGCGGAAAGGGGGCATCTTTACTGCAACTTCTACCTCGAAGAGTTTCAGCGCCGCGGCAAGAAGTGCATACCTCTGTACTTCAATGGCCGGGACCATTACGAGCTCATTGATGAGGTATGGCTGCAGGACTGTTTTCTTGAGCCTAACTCTATGTAGTTGGGTGCCTCAACCCTATCGTTTTTAACCTTCCTCGTTGTCTTTCTAGCCTAACTGCTATGCTTTTCAACCCCGCTCTTTTATTCCAGACCAGGACCAAGAGCCCAATGCGGAGTTGCGGCATGAGAGAATGGCGCGTGGCATGGGCGCAATCTGCAGAGCCTTGGGGGACATGCCGGCAGGCCCAAAGAAGAAGAGGGCGAAGGCGCCCGCAAAGAAGGCCAAAAATCGGTCGGAAGGGTACAATCTTCAAAACCGACGGCCGAGCGGTAACTACCAGAAGCACCGGCAAGTGCTACCCCTGGATCTGATCCAGGCTGGTGAAGCTGAGTGGTTCATAGAGGCGCGCGGGAAGACTGTGAGCCACGGTGGCGCTCGAGGCACGATTGCCGGCAGCACGACCGCTAGGATGCACTGGCAAACTATTCGCCAGCAACCTGTTCTGGTTTGTATTATAGTTGAAAAAAGGTGACGGCGCCTATAAGAGGCCGTGCGCGTATGTCATTTTTTTCCTGTCTCTTCATTTACGGTTCGTTGGGGGGTGGGGGGGTGGGGTGGGGGATGTTAAGGTTCATGGGACTTGCACACTTACGTGATGCTACGCTACTGCACGTTCTCTTCAAGTTATACAACTACGTGATGCTGGGGGATGTTAACGTTCATGGGACTTGCACACTTACGTGATGCTACGCTACTGCACGTTCTCTTCAAGTTATACAACTACGTGATGCTACGCTACTGCACGTTGTCTTCAAGTTATACAACTACGTGATGCTGGGGGATGTTAACGTTCATGGGACTTGCACACTTACGTGATGCTACGCTACTGCACGTTCTCTTCAAGTTATACAACTACGTGATGCTGGGGGATGTTAACGTTCATGGGACAATGCACAAAGTCATTGTGGCAAGCTTTGGCAGAAGAGTGCCGAAAAAAAAAGCACTTGAAACTTCAGGCGCGCCGGCAAAGAGTTAAAAAAGTGATGAAAATGCTGCGCGGGGTTCCAAAAACGCATGTCCTCGGTCAGCCTTACAGTGTTTTATTCTCTAGATTCATGATGGACTTCAATCAGAATGTGCAAAAACCTTGGGTTTTTGAAGCAATTGATTTCATCGGTGCAAATGCAATGAGCATAAAAACACGGCCTCTTACAGGCGCCGTCACCATGTTTTTCTAAATGTGCTTCATGCCACAACGGCGTGCACTTTTTCGACATCCCCAGTGCCAAAATTGCTCCGGACGTGAGGTGTTTTTTATACAATTGCGTGCAATTTTTGATCTCCCATCTTCCCAGATGGCTCCGCGCCCGCCGCTTTAGCGAGCGTACTCGCCACGAAACATTGCACAAACACAGTGGTTCGCGTTTTTTGTGACGCTTCTATTTTTTGCGCACCTGCATCTGCTTTCTTCTGACTTTTTTTTGCTTCTGATCTTTTTTCTCCTCCCTTTCTCTTTTCTGACTCTTCGCACGTCTGCTTTTTAGTTTTATCTGTCAAATCAATATTAAGGATTGGCAATAGATTTGGGGTGAAATGCAAATGATTTGAAATGGTAAATGCCCCTATAAATATTTCCAGGAAATCAAAATCCCATCTAACATCATTTAACTATTCCCTAAGTTCTCCCGGGGGCCATCCAGCCCCCAGCCCTCATCCCGCTAATCCTTTTGCTGTGGCATGATCCAAAATAAATCTACTTTTTTACTTGACACTTGATTCGGGGGGGGTGATCTACAAGTTTCGTCCGAAACTCACCTAAATCAGGTCATTTTGGAGTTCTATCTACGAGACCCAAGTCAAGTAGCAAGTAAAATAGTTGATTTAAATGCTCTACTTTGTAGATGTCAACATTGGAATTTTGAAGTCCCAGATCTGAGTTTTTCAATTGAAATTTGTAGAGATTCCACGGAAAAGGGATGTGTTGTAGATGTCTACTGCTGAAAATCACAGGCTGAGATCTACGACATGCTCAGCAAACCTAGGATTTAGGAAAGTTTCAATTGAAACTTGCAGAAGTCAACATCCATTTTTTGGACACGGAGATCTACAAGATCACCTTTTCTGCTTGCATTAGATTTGGGATCAAGACTTCAGGGGTCCTTGCCAAGCAATAGTACGCCACCAAGAAGTCAACATACACCATATCAAAGGAATATTTAGGCTCCCAACTCAATGGGCATCACAGATATTTACAAATATGTAGAATAGTAATAGTAGATCGTCAGATAGGTTTAACACTTAGGTCCCCAAGAAGTCAATGTATACTATACAAGTTTAGGTCCCCAACTCAATGGACACTACAAATATATACAATAATAATGCTAGCCAAAATTGGGACCCCAAATCAAATGCTTTTGGCCCAAGATCAAGTGCTATTCCTTTATTGTCGGAAGTTTGACTTCGAAACTTCTCTCGAATATTTGCTGGGATGGGGCTCAACCATGTCCAGAGACCATCTGGGAAGCTGCGCCACGTCATGCTGATTGTTCCGTCATTACCCATGTCACCTTGGCACCGTTGCGCAAATCGGAAAATGATGAACGGCATTTTTAAAAGATAAGGTGCCAACAGGATCCAGCAGGGTCATGCGGGCGCCTTGCAGGAGCCGCGTGGTCCCTGCAGCCTCTATCAAGCGCGTTGGAATAGCCTGGCCCCGGCGCTTGGCCCGTTGCTGATGTTTATTTTTTTTTAACCATCCCAGCCTTGCAGGTTGAGCCGTATCACAGAGGAGCCACGGGCGGAAAGCCACGAAGTTAGAATGGACATGTCCGTCAGAAAAAATGCTATTTTGAAAAAGGTAGACCCTCGGGCAATCAACAGTGGCAATTGAAAGTGTCATGTCAAAGGGAAAATCACTTATACATGAGGAATTTTCAGTTGCCATGGTGGATAATGATGTTCCTAGCCACATTGGAAATCTGCCACAAGTTTGCGAAACAACGTTGCTGCCGATGCAGGAAACCATTTCCAGCAGTGGGGCCTCTCAGACGGAGGCACGGTTGGTAAACCCGTTAAATGCTGCGACGCGCTTATTTTGATAGGTATGGCAGCCGCGAAATAATTAGGGTGAACAATCGGAAACCCGAACAAAAAGGAAGGAACCGCAATCTTTGACATCATGTTTCTTTATTTTTTGTTGTTGTCGGGTTTCTGTGTACCAACATGCACCAGCCGGCTTCAGTTCTACAAACCGATTGGGTTCCAAGTTCCAAATTTAATCACCAGTTTTTTTCATCCAACATTATCGCCGCAGGCATCAGAAGAATGGTGCACGAAATCGTTGACGAGCCGCACCCTTCACCGCGGCAAGAAGGATGGCATGCCAGCTTGCCGTGGAATTTTTGCAATGATTTCATTTTCGTCGGGTTATTGTAAGATCTACGCCATTGCCCTTTTTTTTGGTTATTGGACGTGTCCTTGAAAAAAACAATACGTAAAACATGCATGCTGAGCTGTTGGGGCAACATTGTTTGTGACATTTGTTTTCGGTTTTCCTCCGTTGCTTTGCTGTCCTGACTGGTTGGACAAATTATGATGCTTCCCTATCATTATCGGCACAATTGACAGTTAGTACCACCCGTTTTTGTTTTGAACGGCATTTTCTGAAACGCTTGGGTGCTTGAAAAAAAATGAAAACAAAAACATTGTTTAGACACAATGGGGCAAAATATGATGCTTAAAGGCTTAACGGTGCGTCTGGCGTTTTTCCGGCGGCCCTTCCTTAATGTGGCAAATTCAAAAATAAATCGACCGTTTGTTTTTTTTTACAACCCATTTACGGTGATTTTGGGGATGGTTCAATCATTGGGTTTACCATATTTTGCAATATTACTGGTCAACGTGGTTAAAAACAATGCCATCTGGTTATTTAACATAGCCATGGAAAATGGCCCATTTATAGATGGTTTACCTATTATAAATGGTGATTTTCCATGTCTATGTTAAATAACCAGAGGGTAATTCACACGTTCAATTTCGTTTCCAACCTAGCCGCAATGGTTTCGAACGTAGCGATTGGATCATGTTCCAAAAAAACCCTGGAATGTTGATTGGTTTGCAGGACCCCGGCGACGCGTTCCTGGGCAAAAAACATGGCAATTCCGGGTCTGCAAATGTGGAATATGGCCCCAAATGGCAATTTTTAGCGGGAAAATATGGGATAATCATTAACCAATGCATAACCAATGTTCGGAAGGCCTATTTTCGGACAACCCCTTATCTTCTTTTTGGGACCATGACTTCCAGTCGGTTGACGATTGAGTGCCCATCCAAGACACGGAATCATAAAATGATATCAGGCCCCAAAAGACTTGGGTTTGCTTGATTTTTGTTCCATATGTTTTGTTTTTTTTCACTTTGATCTTGTTTGCAGATAAACATGTGAAACACATCGGTTCATTTGATTTTTCTCCTTTTTTTTCGCAAACAAATCATGATAATCATGGACAGGTCATTCCAGTAATCCTAAAACTCTGAGATTGACTTGACACGTTTGAGGGGTATCATGGTTTTATGGGTGTTTCCTGAAATAGGGGTACCCGCCAAATCATCTATTTTCGTAGGATTTTCCATTATAAACCACAGGATTGGGTCCCCAAGATAGCTAAGTTGGTTTATAAGTGGCTGAATCCAATGGTTTATGGTAGATATAACAAACTAGTTAATGGGGATTATGTCATGTTTTTTATTACTTTAATATAAGTTTATAAACCAACAAACATCACTGGGGGGTGTCCATCCTGCATCCAGCTATTGGGGAATCCCCCATTTAAGAAACCCCCATAATTATCTGAGTTCTGCCGCTGAGGATCGACCCCAAAAAGATGGATGTCATAGCCTGGAACTGAGCCATTTTTCAGCGAATCTGTGGGAAATCCTTGGGTCAAACTGATGGAAAACCCAATGGAAAATCATCCGTTTACTGGTTGGTGGTTTGGAACATGAAACTTATGACTTTCCATATGTTGGGAATAGTACTGACTTTCATATTTTTCAGAGGGTTGAAACCACCAACCAGTTTATGATGAGTTTCCCAGCTATCAACCTCCATTTTTGATTTTTCATTGCCGGTTTGATTACATGAGAGTAACAAAATGATCCGTGAAGGACAACATTGTTTATTGAGAATTTTGTTTTTGCTGAACGCACAGAACAGTTTTTGATTTTCGGCCCAACTTGAAGGGTTTCATTGTTTCAGCTTCGAGCGATTATTGCTTATGGATGCGTTCCCGAACGGAAACCTCACTTCGAAACATCAGTTTGAATGGTTTTGGATTCAAGTCCAGCTCCATTTGATCATCATTTTCCACATTTTCCCAGGATTTCCCATTGATTTTCCCATCCTCAGCCCATCCTCAGCTGGGTTTTTCAGGTCACCGCCCAAGACACGGTGGGCCTTGACACCGTGCCGCTGGTGGAGGTGCGTTCCGCCTTGGTGGGGCCGGACGGCGCTGGTGGCGACGTGCGAAGCCATGGATCGATGGAGTGGATCCCGGGGCAAACGTTGCACTTCGATGTGCCCAAGGAGGTGACGAGGAGAAAGATGATGGATTTATATGGATTTATGACATTTATGATGGTGTTTTTTTGTGGTTATAGCATGTTATAGCGACGGACAAATACTTAGAACATCATTTGGAAAAAAATCTGAAAATCGTCACAGCGGGGATGTTCTAAGTATGGGTTTCAAAAAAAGTAGTTAGAACATACCCAAAACCTATACTTAGAACATTTCCAAGCTATACTTAGAACATCCCAGTGGGGAACCAATGGGAACCATACATATACATTCAAAATTATAAATAATTCATTTTGGCTCATTTTAGTATTGAAACCTATGCTTTTTGATTACCCCCTGTAGGAAACCCACAAATTACTAGAGACCTTCCCATTGCAGCGAAGACTGCTTGGGATATTGTTCCCGAAGAAAAGGTATAGAATGCTGTTCTAAGTATGGCGTTCACCAAGGTATTTGTGTATATATGCAGATTTACCAAAGTCACAGGGCATGTTCTAAGTATATGTGTGTTTTAATGTTCTAAGTATGCAAAAATCAAAGGATATGTTCTAAGTATTTGTTTTTCTGATGTTCTAAGTGCGTACTTAGAAACATTTCTGATGTTCTAAGTATGGTAATTTTGATGTTCTAAGAGGAGGTTCCGAAATTTTGGAAAAATTGATGTTCTAAGTATATGTCCGTCGCTATAATAGTGGTGAATAGTGGTTAATAGTGTTTTTTTTGTGGTTAATAGTGGTTAGTCCTGGTGAATAAAAATAGCGCTTAGTAGTGGTTACGATGTACCCTCGCAAAATTGATGGTGAATAGTGGTGCTCAAAAGCGATGATTGGTTTTAGTTAGATATAGCTTAATGATGATTAACATGCTGGATGTAATTTTGTGAATGATGCTTAGTAGTGGTTAGTACTGGTGAAGAAGTAGTGGTTAATAATGGTTAGCAATGTTTGCTATAGTGACTGAATATAGTTTCTAGTAATGGTGAATGCTGGTAACTAATATTTGGGGTATCCTATTTTCAGACCACTATCAGTGGTTTCTTTCAATAAGTTTTTTTCAAGTCATAGGTTTCAATACTAAAAATGTCTGATGTGGATGATTTGGGGGTACCCCCATGACTTAGGAAACCTCCGTGTCTATCATGTTGAAAGCATTCGTTGGCTTCGGGTCATCTTTCTCAGTAAATCATCATCTGGGAAATCCCCGAATGGAGCTTCAGAATGTCTGAGGAGATCATCAAGGGGTGTTTCCGGGAGAGGTTGAATATCAATATTCTGGGTAAATTATAACGACCTCACTGCGACCTCACTGGGTATCATGGTTTTTATAGGGAAATCATCCCCAAATGGCCTTAATTCAGGTTAGAGAAATATTATAATTTACCCAGAATATTACAATTTTTATAGCCTTGAATATCCATTAATTATTAACCATAAGTATTTTATCAACTATCCAACTATCCAACTATCCAGCTATAATGCGGACATTATGGTGAGATCATTCTAATCCAGTAGTTAGGATGGTGCCAAGGTATACATTGGGTATCCATAGCCCCTATAAAATGGTGAATGCAGCTACCAAGAGTTTGGGGGGCACCCGAATGGGCAATTTCGCACAGCAAAGTGTCTTTATTTCATCTTCCAAGATTACCCTCTCTCTGGTAAACTATATAACAGTTTTCTAACTGGAAAATGACTCATTTAGTTCGTTGATATATAGTTGATTTACCCTTTAATCTTTAAACAATGGTGATTTTCCATAGTTTTTTGTATGTTTACCAGAGGGTACATCTATTTTACATGTCACAAACGTTTCTCCAAAGTGTGGATGGGGCCAGATGAACTCATGGATCTTTCAGCATTTTGAGGACAGCTAGCCGGCTAGCAAACCAGATTCTGAAACCTTGAAGCCTTATGAAGCCTTGCGGTTTTCCCAAGAAAAACACGACGTCGTTGATCATGGCCCTTCAACCTCCTCAGGTGAACAAAGATGTGGAGATCCATCTTGAGTTGCTGCCATTTGCGAACCCGCCACAAGGCATCATTGACGGAAAGATGCTGCTGAATGCAGCCGAAAAGCACTTCGGCTTGAGATAGGCTGAGATGATCACTGTGAGACTCAAGTCGAGTTAGATGTTTGGAAGTGCCCCAGTTTTTTTGATACATCGATGTGCAGTTTTCTGCTTTTGTTCCTTAAGTGGTCCACAGTTTCCGTGCGCAACCACAGGTATGAGCAAGTTCAGCTGTCTTCGGGAGCCTTAGGTCTTCATGTTCGAATGAAGCCCAGTAAGCAGCGCGGTAACAAGAAAGGTCTCAAGTGGCACCCAGAGGTGCGTGATGGGAAAAGTTTCACCGGGAGCAATCGCCGCAATACGCCCTTTCAACCCTTGGTGCCCATTGCAGAGTCTGAGGCGAGGTTGTCAGAAGCAAGAACCTCGGATGGCAGAATGTCACGCAGTATGTTGGAAGACCCCCGGATGTCAGAGGCACGGATTTCCGATGGAAGGATGTCAGCAGCAGACCCGCGGATGTCAGAAGCAAGGATGTCCGATGGAAGGATGTCAGCAGCAGACCCCCGGATGTCAGAGGCACGGATGTCCGATGGAAGGATGTCAGCAGCAGACCCCCGGATGTCAGAAGCAAGGATGTCCGATGGAAGGATGTCAGCAGCAGACCCCAGGATGTCAGAAGCAAGGATGTCTGATGGAAGGATGTCAGCAGCAAACCCCCAGATGTCAGAGGCAAGGATGTCCAATGGAAGGACATCAGCAGCAGACCCCCGGATGTCAGAAGCAAGGATGTCTGATGGCAGAATGTCAGCAAGGATGTCAGGAGCAGACCCCCGGATGTCTGAAGCAAGGATGTCCGATGGAAGGATGTCAGCAGCAGACCCCCGGATGTCAGAAGCAAGGATGTCCGATGGAAGGATGTCAGCAGCAGACCCCCGGATGTCAGAAGCAAGGATGTCCGGTGGAAGGATGTCGGCAGCAGACCCCCGGATGTCAGAAGCACGGATGTCCGATGGAAGGATGTCGGCAGCAGACCCCCGGATGTCAGATGGCAGAATGTCAGCAAGGATGTCAGCAGCAGACCCGCGGATGTCAGAAGCCACGATGTCCGATGGCAGCATGTCGCGTAGCATGTTGGAAGACCCCCCGATGTCAGAAGCAAGGATGTCCGATGGAAGGGTGTCAGCAGCAGACCCCAGGATGTCAGAAGCAAGGATGTCTGATGGCAGAATGTCAGCAAGGATGTCAGGAGCAGACCCCCGGATGTCTGAAGCAAGGATGTCTGATGGCAGAATGTCAGCAAGGGTGTCAGCTGCAGACTCGCGGATGTCTGAAGCAAGGATGTCCGATGGCAGAATGTCAGCAGCAGACCCCCGGATGTCAGAAGCAAGGATGTCCGATGGAAGGATGTCAGCAGCAGACCCCCGGATGTCAGAAGCAAGGATGTCTGATGGCAGAATGTCAGCAAGGATGTCCGGAGCAGACCCCCGGATGTCTGAAGCAAGGATGTCCGATGGAAGGATGTCAGCAGCAGACCCCGGATGTCAGAAGCAAGGATGTCCGATGGAAGGATGTCGGCAGCAGACCCGCGGATGTCAGAAGCAAGGATGTCCGATGGAAGGATGTCAGCAAGGATTTCAGGAGCAGACCCCCGGATGTCTGAAGCAAGGATGTCCGATGGAAGGATGTCAGCAGCAGACCCCCGGATGTCAGAAGCAAGGATGTCCGATGGAAGGATGTCGGCAGCAGACCCGCGGATGTCAGAAGCAAGGATGTCCGATGGAAGGATGTCAGCAAGGATGTCTGAAGACCGGTGGGTGTCCGATAGCAGGATGTCAAACGGGAGGATTTCCAACGTCAGAATGTCTGAAGCGAGACTGTCGGATCTTTCAGAGCCTGATTTGCGAAGTTCCCCTTCTTTGGCTTCCATGCAGTTAGACGTGTCCGATCTCGAACCCAGACCCTCCTGTGGGATTTCCACGGGGAGGCGTTCAACAGTGAGGATGCAACAAGATCCCTCTGAAGCCTCAGATACCCCCAGCAGTGATGCAGCAAGGCAGTCAGTGGGTGCATCCTTGAACCACGTGCCTTGAACATATGCTGAGTCGGTGACTTTTTGATGTGCGGTGCTTTATCCAATGATTTGTGGATTTTGGGGAATTCATTCGTTCCCCACCTGCCAGGTGAGGGTTGTTAGATTTTATCAGAGCGCATGCCCGCTTCCTCCTCCTCCTCCTCCTCGACTATAGCTGTCCTCCTCGCTGTCCCCCTCGCCTCCGCCTCTTCCACCTCCACTTCCGCTCCACCTCCACTTCCGCATTGCCAACCTTGCCAACTTGTCGCCAAGCTCTTCGCCAACTGCCCAGCTCAGTGCGCACTGCTGGACGTCAACCTGCGAGCTGCCCAGCTCAGTGTGCAGCGCTGGACCTCAACCGGGGACCTGCCCAGCTCAGTGTGCACCGCTGGACCTCAACCGGGGACCTTCCCAGCTCAGTGTGCACCGCTGGACCTCAACCTGGGACCTGCGCAGCTCAGTGTGCACCGCTGGACCTCAACGGCCAGATAGAATGCCAGAAGATATGCCAGATAGAATGTCAGATAAAATGTCAGAAGATTTGCCAGATGATATGCCATGAGATATGCCAGATAGAATGCCAGAAGAGATGCCAGATAGAATGCCAGAAGATATGCCAGATAGAATGCCACAAGATATGCCAGATAGAATGCCAGAAGGTATGCCAGATAAAGTACCAGAATGTTTGCCAGATAGAATGCCAGAAGATGTGCCAGATAGAATGCCAGATAGAATTTCAGAAGATATGCCAGAAGATATGCCAGATAGAGTGCCAGAAGATATGCCAGAACATATTGCAGAAGATATGCCAGGTAGAATGCCAGAAGATATGCCAGAAGATATGCCAGATAGAATGCCAGAAGATATGCTAGATAAAATGCCAGAAGATATGTCAGATAGAATGCCAGAAGATTTGCCAGTAACAAAACGTATAAATGTCATGGTGGGGACAACTCGAAGTAAAGTAATTGTTTTTCTTTTCGTGGGACCTCTTGGTTAAACTGCATCGGGCCAACCATTCTCCAATTTCTTGCTCTAGACCGGAGCCGATGGATCAGCGTTTTGATCAGCACTTTGATCAGCACATGTCAGTCAGTTGAGGTGGGCAAACTCTCCCTTGAAGCCCAATCTGGTAGCCTCTTCGGCACTCTTCCTCGCTCCAGTGTCCGCAGCATGCAGGTGGCATCCTCTGAGTCGGACAGCGGATCCGGATCTATCGGATCGCCAGGTGTGACTACAGTGACCCCAATGGCGACCATTGCGGAAGATCGTGGCACGGAACTCAGTTTCCTGGAAGCTGCTGATGTTTTTGTTGGGCGTTTTTCCTATGAATTCCTCCGCAAATATGATACTGGGGGTTTTGATTGTTTCATGTTTTTCCTTCTTTTGCCCCTGAATCAGCCAAGGTTCCAAATCTGCAAGAAACAGCATGAAGAGCAGAGCCTCCAGATTGGGCCGAAGAACTTCGGATACTCTGCCACTTCCGGGGGCCAGGGCTGTGTGTCGTTTTACCCATCCAAAGTCCGTGGACTTTTGCGGCTTGGAGCTGATGGCGTGTCAGTGCCAGGCGGAACCTTTGGCGGGCAGAGATCGAAGTGCGCTGCTGGTGCTGCTGGAACAAGCTGCCAAGTCAGTGGAAGCTGCGCGACAGATGAAAGGACGGGACGTTTTTTTCACTGGGAAATCCGGGAAATCGTGCACCTCAGGCTATACTTTTTTTTTTGGGGGGGAATGACTATAAGTAATTTGACCTGTAAGCCCAATCTTCGCAACTACTGGAGGTGCTCATGATCGGATGTCAGCTTTAGGATGTATACTGTATATACGATGTATGATATATTTGGTGTCTCAACGTTGCCTGCCTTCTGTCACTCTTCCAGTTCAGACACATTGTCTTGCCGTCTCTAAGTGGTGCGTATCCTAAGGACTTAGGCAGTCGGGGGATGTACAGCTTCACATGTGAATTAAGACGACTTGTTAAGTCTGTCTTAGGTCAAGTTTAATTTAAAACCGCGCTTCTCCACATGTTTTTTTTGCAGACCAAGCTTTCATCAATGGATTGGTTTAAGGGAAAATCTACAGGAAACCATATAGATGTTCCCATTAAATATGGTGCTTTCCTGTAATTTTTCCCGTAAACAAATCCATTGATTTCAACATCGTTCAACCCATTTCATGCCAGGGGATGCGAGTGCCATGCCACGGATATTGGCACAATTGAGTTCGGAGTTAACTCTGCACGGAAGGGAGTTGAGAGTTGGAAGATTGCAGACCGTTACTGGGAGTCAAGATGATCAAGGGAGAAACCTAAGGGAAACCTAAGGGAAACTGGGGGAAACTATGCATATACCATCATATACCATGAATATCCACTTTTAAGGTATAGTATGATGCCGATGTTGTAGGGCTTCCTCTAAGTTGCCCCTTCATCATGTAAGTTGTTTCCTGCATGTTTCAAATATTGCTCGTGGTTTGTCGCAAAATTGAGAATGCTGGTGCCCCAGAAGGGCAATTTCCATTGGAGGAATGACCGAATTCGACAGGGTTTTCTGGGCATTCTATATTGACACATATTGACAAGTCACCCACTGCTGTGTTTTTTCAAAGAGTGGGACTGAAGAAGGATAGCACATCTCATGCCCCTAGACCGAGAATGAGCTGATGAGTGGAAATTGTTTTTCTTCGCACGGTTTCATATAATGAGTCATGATGAGTCATGATGCATCATGATGCAAATGCTTTAAACTTGTTGGCCCGTCCAAACAAATTCGATACTCACAATGATCCATGTTCTTCAATGTTCGCAGTTCTCTTCGCAGGGCATTAACATATTGGTATAGCTCCCCATGTTTTGGTCTCCTATGGGCCAAATTCAAAAACATCTTCCAGGTTGGAGTGGAACCAGTGGCATTGGCAGTCCTATCACAACTCATTGAAGTTTTGGATACCTTGGTGCCGAAAGCCAACGAGAGCCATGAGAATTCCTTGGTTCTGGGGCACGATGGAAGTATGGGAGGTGAGGCCAAACCGCCCTACACGGTTGCTGGGACAGTAATTGGACAGTTTTTTTTTGGGGGGGGTGGTAGCCTCCAGTGAGCCAACATAACTATGGAAAATGGTCATTTATTTCCATGATTTACCTAGTAAAAATGGTGATTTCTGTGGCTATGTTAGTTTACCAGAGGTCTTCCTTCTGGGGAAGACGATTTTGTCCAATGACTTGGATGATGGGGGTACCATGGATTTGGAAAGCTCCAAACATCATCAAACATCATCATCCCAGGAATCCTTGTTGGAATCGCTGCGTCAAGCCTTTGGTCCTCACGGTTTTCTACCCGAAGTCGTGGAATGTCTCCATTCACAGCCGCAGCTACCAGCTGCAGCGGCTGAGCAGCTGAAAATCCAGTGCCTGCTGTCGCTACGTCTGGCAGCTGCTTGGGAGACCCCCAGCAGCGTGCAGAAGCCCATGGAGCTGGTGATTCAACAGAAGCCTGCTGGGTTGAACTGCGACGATTTTTTTTTGGTCAGTTTCCCAGTGTTTTTATGGATGGTTTAGGTAAATCCACCAGAACTGCCAGAAATAGTTGATGAATGTTGATGAATGTTGATGAATGTTGATGATGGTGAATCTACTGGCTTTTTCCATGGTTAATCCATGGCTAATCCACTGATGATGTTCTCTTTCAGCTTTTTCCATTGGTGAATCCATAGAAAACAACCACCAGATTTCTGGGTGCTGGGATTTGGGGTCGGCCCTCCAAGGAAAGGATGTGAGGTGTTGATACAGCAGCTTGAAGAGTTGATCTGCAGATTGACACTGGGCTGAGTTTAGGTTGTGGTGAGTTTCGTTTGGGATTTGAAAAGTGTGGATTTGGAAAGTGTCACCGGTGTTTTTTTCAAACTTGATTTCTTGATATTTCTTTTGGGAAGATGCTGAGAGAAACAGTCTGAAATTGGGGCGGGTTTTTGTTGATCATATATGTCACCTTAATTCTGGCAATATGATCTTAGTCACTCCGACCCACTTCCTATGACGTGTTCTCTTCCTTACTCCATTTTGGGAGGTTTGTCCATTCGAAAGATGATGGTTTTCTTGCTAGCCATGTGCAGTAGGACTATCAGAGTTTCAACCATTGAATGTTCATCATTTCATGAAACCATGCAACATATTACAAATCACCCAACATTGTCAAACACCATTCTAAAATCACATCATTAAGCACCGTCGTAAGACCACCTAAAGTCATTCAACATCATCCAAAATAATCCGCCATCATTCAAAAAAATCAAAAAACAGCCCAAATCATCTAACATCAAACATATCCAAACACCAAAAACATCAGATTTTTGCCCCAATAAACATATCCAAACAACAAAAAACATCAGATTTTGACCCAAAAAACATATCCAAACAACAAAAAAAACATCAGATGTTGCCCCAATTTTCATGAATTTTCCAGGTCACCCCATCCAAGGAAGAAGGGCGATGGCAGCACCACTGTCATAGCACAGCTGGGCTTGGCGTTGGAGATACAGCAGTTGCTGCTGTGCTCGGATTTGGGGCTTGAGCAGCTCTGTGACACCTTCACGTGCCTTGGATGCCTTGGAAGTTGATTTCGATGTTGATTTCGACATGGGGAGACCAGGACAGGCTGGGTCACATCTGTTTAAAATTCCGGAAATGATGGATTTTGAGGAGGAAAATGGAGATTTCTTCAAGGGGAAACGTGGGATTTCGTCATTCGAACTTGCGAAATGGAGACGTTGCCAGCAACAGTGCGGTTTTTACCGGAATATTTGGCCGTGAGAATTTGGTAGCAACACCCAAAACAAATCAGAAAAGCTTCAATTTTTCATTGTTTAGTGATGTCATGTTACTTTTTACGTCTTTTGGGGTTACAAAAACCATCAGAATTAAATAGTGGTCTTGCATGGTTTGGCAATCAAAAATTTGGATTGAGCCTAGTAGAACCATTAACCAATGGCTTCAGCATGTTATGGACACGCAAGGAACACGCTCATTGGAAAATTCTGATTGATTAATTAATTCCGATTGTTGGAAACCATTTTTCCATCTTTTCCCAGTTATAGTTATAGTGGTGCTGTCAATTTGTTTTTTCCCCTCTGGGACATGCCGTTTTCGGGTCAAAGAGTGCAGTTGGAACTGTTTGCGTCGTCATGAGGAAAGCAAGATCCGGGGCGACACGCCGGAGACCTAGCAGATAGGGAGAAAGATGGGTTTGTTGGAAGATATCCCATATGCTCCATGTATGGAATATTTACCAACATTTGCTCTAAAAATCACCCAAATGCAAGTAGATATACCATACATGGAACATATGGGTATGGTATTGGGTGAAGTATAACTTAAACCTCACTGGGATGTCATGGAATGATGCTTAGTAAGGCCCAACATGTCAATGATTTCAGCCAGATAGGAATGCGGCCCATGCGGCCTTGTCAATGGGGTTATCTTGGGATGAGGATGATCATTGCCTACAATGAAAACCATGATAAATCCATGTTTCTTCTAAGTTTTGGCCTGCATTTTCCCGTCGATATTGTAATATTCACCTTCTTTAAAACATTTTGGGGTGTTCCTTTTCTTTAGGGAAAAACGGGAGAATACCATTTGTGTCGGGCCTCACTCGGCACTGCGGGAAGCCACTTGACATGTTTTTGGCATTGGTGTAGATGTCCCCTAATTTCTAAATAAGATTGTTCCAATGTTGGTAAAGCAATGCCGTAAACCATTCCCCAAATCACCATAAATAGGTGGTAATTAATTATAAACCAATTCCAAATGGATGGTTTATGACATTCTTTTACCCACATTACTTGCTTTTTCAGCAAAAGTTGGTATGCTGATATGCTCCAATCTTGCGCAACAAGGGCCATCCATGGGTGAACACGGATCATCTTTGATTTGTATCCATCACAGTACCACGGTATCACGGTTGTATTTCAAAAACATACGGATCAAACACAGAACAGACTTCTCCAAACGTGTGGTGATTTCAATTTTATTCCAACCACATTGTTCCTCGATGTTTTCTTGATTTGTTTCCTCCCGAGACTTCCAGGTCGCGAAACTCCTTTAGCCACCATTGCACTTGAAACCTTGGAAATTCTGGCGCAACAGAATTGGCAGGTTCGCTGGGAATTTCGGGAGCGAAACATGAACCAAATCATGTTCACATTTTGAGGTGACCTTGACATAAATGTCAAGCAGAAAATCATGAGCTATCAGCTTTAAATCATTTTAAATCAGAAATTGATGGTGTCCAATTTCAGATCAAATCGCGGATGTAAAACGAGAGAAGGAATATGGTATGAAGTTGCAAAAATAGAATGTCAATCAACAGTAATTACTTGTAGTCTGGCATTTCCTAGGAAGACTATTTGGTATTCATAGGATTATCAAGCTTTTCTGGTGGTTTCAATCCTAGGATTGAAATGTATTCCTTACAATGTTTCTATGCAAAAAAATTCAGCAATTTATCGAATCGATCCTTAGGAACCGGTGACAGCTTGGTAGTGCAAATGATCAGCCATTTGGTGTCCATTTTTTGATGTTCAACTGTTCAACTCATGCATTTTTTCAATGATCTGGTTGATCAGTTCGAACTGGTGGTGCTCCCAGAATATAACGAACAATAGTTTATCGTAGCACTGTTTGTAAGTTGGATGTTGCTAAAGCCTTTTTCTGGGGTCTCTATAATGTTATAGATCCAATTCCATGATTCATACCTTCATAACATTTCATACCACCGGCAAAAAAATCAATGACATATCCCACCCCCATCACTGATATTACATGCCACCTGGGTTTATCCGATAGATTGTCGTCATGTTCCCAATGATTTGATTGCAGCGAGGGTAGATCCACCCTTTGAAAAAGACCCGTAAATTAGTTACATTGGTTACATACCCATTTTATCCTAATCCTAAATGTATATTATAATATATACATATGTATACATATATATATATGTATATATATATATATGATATTATATATTAAGTTGGTTATATACTTACATATTCCAGTGATATTCCCCGTTATATCCCATAAATCCCCAAACATGTCCCTTTTTGTTTTACATCTCACCAATATGATACACGCCGTCGTTCGAGGCATCCCCGGTTGCGATCAGCACAGTTCTGCCAGCAGCTGCAGCTCGGAGTAATCAACCCTGGTTGATGAATGAAACAAGTTGGTTTATAAACCCCATTAACTATAGCTATAGCTAGACATATACGGGTTTATAATAGTGGTTTACTGGTACCAACTAGATGATATAAGTGGTTTAACTATGTATCTATAGCTATATCTACCATACACCATAGATACCATAGTTAAACCATTTATATCATCTTATATCTCAACTTAGCTATCTTGACGATTTGGGGGAGGCGTCTCCGAAAATAGTGAGAACATAGTGAGAATTGGCTAAAATTGTTTTTTTCTTCAGAATTGGTTTCAACAGCCTTATTCATCGGTTGACACTACTGAGAGTTTCTCAGAGCTTTGGGGACAACTGTGATTAGTATGTGGATGTCATTAATATAGATGTCAAACTATCATTGTCCCAACAAAAAATATGATTAGTATATCAAACATTTTTTGGGAAAAATACGCGTGCTGTTTGGACTATTAATAGTTGGATGGGAACAATACCATATTTTCATTAGATGGATTGGAGACACAACATAATATGGTTTTCATTTTTGTGGAAGTTATATCCACAGCCCAATACTTCAAGTTTGGGTGAAATTGAGCATGTATTTTGACCTTGCGTCAAGACAAAAAACTTCCGTTTTTCCCTCCAAAAAATGGAGTTAACAACCATCAAAGTGAGATCTAACCAACATCTGTGGCTGGAACTGCCGAAACTTTTTCGGTGCCAAAGATTTACGCAGCTTGCCGGGATCTGTATCATTCAGTTGTCACTTCTCAAAATCCAGTTGTTGATAACCATCCATATGTTGAGCCCATTTGGGATGTTATGTTTAATCCATTTGGGACGGTTATGGATGGTTGATATGTTATGTCCCTAAATTCCAACCATCCATAACCATCCCAAGGAGTCTGTTTGAACAGGGCGGGCAACTATGGGCAACCCCTTAATCTGGTGAAACAGCACAACATCTCCCCTCCTTTGGCCAGGCCACGTTATGAATGTAAACGCCGCCGGCAGACAGATCTACATCATATATGGTTTCTATATCCCCATTATAAATCATTTTATATATATATTATATAAATAAATATATATATATATATTATCCTCATTGTATTTTGGTGGAAGTCGAAGCGTTTTCAAGAATAGTGCGTCCTAGGTGGGGGAGACTAATATGAGAAGTCGATGCGATGTTGTGTCCAAGTGGTGTCAATATGTTATGTGTGTATTCTATTATTGTAACATTTTGCAAGGTGTGTCCCTGGTTGTCTTTCATGATTCATGTTTTAGCCAAAGGCACCTGATAAATGCGCTGCGTCCCATGCGGTTTGTATCTTGTTTTCGGAGATTACACTGACTTTCACGTCTGGGTGTAGTTGATTACCCTCTGGTAAACTAACATAACTATGGAAAATCACCATTTTTAATGGGAAAATCCACTATAAATGGTCATTTTCAATAGCTATGTTAAATTACCAGAGGGTATATCCCCCAGTTTATCCAACAGAAAAGGACAAGACCTGACGAACAAAGTAATCTGGGTGCCCCCAAGGCTGCGCAACTTAGGTAAACATCCTGGCATTGCTGTTGAACGCCACCCCTGTGGCTCTAACTGCATCAACGGCCCTGCTGGCATTTCTTGGAAAATCTTCGATATCTCAAAAGTTGGTCTCCTTTTCCTATAATGTGGTTAAAACAATCATAAACTACCCATTTGGGAATGGAACAAATATACCACCTATCTATGGTGATGACTGGGGGATTGTTTATTATTGTTTTAACCACATTACTATTCCCACGTTCAACTGTTGACTATTCATTGGCTGCCATTCGGATTTTTTTTGTTGTGACCTCACTGTGACGTCACTGGAGGGTCAGGATTAGGGGTATCTTCCCCACATGGCTCAACATTATAACAGTTTTTTCTGCTTGGTGGTTTGGAAGATGAATTTTATGACTTTATTGAAATATATGGTTATGTTAGTTTACCGGAGGGTATCGTTTTTCTTGGATTTATGTTTGATGATGATGATGACTGGTTGGTGGTTTGGAACCATGGATTTTTTTTTGACTTTCCATATGGGAACTTCATCATCCCAACTGACGAAGTCATACTTTTCAGAGAGGTTGAAACCACCAAGCAGTTTTTTTTTCGGTTGGTGAATTACTGTATGATTTAGCCAGAAATGATACGTGCCATGGTCAAAAACTGGAGTAGATCAAGCCAAGAATATTAAGGGATGGTCATTGATCCATTGATACGGGTTTATACGCCCATTTTACGGATTGATTTCCATTAATTAAGCATAGATGACCATACCACATATTTCATTTTTTCACCACATATGATATGATCCCTTCTCACCAATATTGAGTACCCCTTGCAATCCAATTTTGGGCCCCTGATTGGAGGCGTGCACATGGGGAAAGATACTTTTCCGAACTTTTCCTTCAAAAACGGGTGGTTCCACCATCTTCCAACATCGAAAATGCACTTGGAACATGCCAAACTTTGCCTCACCTTCATAGCTAAAAATCATCATTCAACATCTAAAATGGCACTTAGAAAATGCCAACTGTTGCCTCACCTATGGCAGATGTCATCCATTGGGATAGGAAATTTCCAAAAAAACTTGGCCAGGACCAAGTGGTACGAGCGCTCTGTGAGCTCATCTCACACGAGACGATGACTCCGTTCACTTCCCGGTTTTTTGGGACGGGGGTGGCATATCGAAAGCCTAAGGTTCGACTGTTAAGACCCATGAAAATCAACAAAACCATGGCTTTTCCACAAAAAATTGCCACTGGAAAATCGGAGAAAAATATCGTGGTTACGTGTAAAGGGTCGTCTAGCCCCTAAAAAATCATTCCCAGTTCCCTGTTGGGGTGCTTTTTTTCGACTTTGCAACGGTTCAATTATCAATTGTTAAGCAAACTATGCAAAAGATCACCGCGGTAATTGTTTGTATGGGGTTATATAATCATCTTCGCAAATAATTTTTTTTTTGCTCTATCTCCATTTTCTCATCAAAACAACCAGAAATTGGGGCATGACTGACTTTGAGACAGGCCAAAACATGATTGAAAACGAACATCATTGAAACTAGCATCGGTGGTTATACAGTATAAGCAGTTTTTTCGTCCCCAAATCGGAAGAGCAGTTTCAGTCATAAGTGGATGTACAACCAATCAACCATAGATTTTTCGGGGTTATAGGCTAGGGTTATATTCGTTCAATCTGTCGGTAAAACCACACATTTTTTGCACCTCAACTGCACCAGTGGCCATTCCAGGTATACCTACATAAATGAGAGATTCCCACCACAAAAATCACAAGAGGAATGGCCAAGGCCTATGTTCCATTACGATCCATTACGCATTTCCCCAAAAGATATTCTCAAAATTTCAATTGCCATTTCAGGTACAGTACCTAATTTGGAGGTATCTAGCATTATATATAAGGCCTATGATTCAGGGCTAAATTTCAGGGGATGTGTCCCATATGGCTTTTGATGGTGCAGAAACGCTCCATTTTTGGGACCTAAATTGGGAAATTCACTCATGAAATATCTCAACTAATGGGGGGTTCGAAACTTTATAACATGTTGTATCCTAGTTATCACCATAGTTATCACTAACTTTTTCATGGGGGTTGATGACAACTTATGGTGGGTTTATCACCATAGTTACCCTCTTGTTAAACTAACATAGCTATGGAAAATCACCATTATCAATGGGAAAATCCACTATAAATCACCATCTTCAATGTTAAATTACCAGAGGGTATACCATGTTTTTTTCATCTCAACTGCCCCACTTGGGCGAGCTCCCCTGAGGCGGTTCATATCTGCGATGCTTCGACTGGTACCTCGGTATATGTTGAATTTCCACTGCTCCAGCCGCAAGGGAGAAACACCCATTGGTTTCACCCCTGTGGCCGAGGGAAAGTGGGGATTTCGCTAAGAAATGCTGGTAGATAAGATGACAGATGGGGAAAAAAAAGGTTTTAACATGTTTTAACCAAGAAAAATGAGGGTTTTGATGCGAGTTTGATGCTGCTACAACTGGGTGGGAATTGGATTCCGGTAGCTGGGCCATACTCCAATAGCTGGAGGGTTATGGATGATTTGGGATTTGAAGATCCTTTGGAGAATCAACTTTTGATAGTGAAACAACATCAGATGGCTGGACAACAGTACCATCTCAGATTGGCGATGGAATTCGTTTTTGCATACATAGTCCGAAGGTAGTGTCACTCCATTTGATGAAGTACGTTGGTGCTTTGGGCCTTTAGTTAGTCATGCGTCATGCGTAGTTATTCACATTCTTATTATTATTTTAATTTATTATATATTTATCAAGTTTTCAGCCATTTTTTCTGCCCAATTATCCGCTTGTCTCATCTTATCTCTCAGTCTATCTCTACATCTATCCGTTGATCCATCTACTTATTTACTTCCAAGCCTATCTCTCAGATTACGTAAAAAATATCCTTCACATTTGTCGTATTTTTCTGTTATGTATAACCATATAGTAAAGATAGTCATCCTGAAGTACATGTCATCAAGGATTTTCAAACATATTCCCGTTTCTGTGACTTACCCTCTTGTAATTTAACATAACTATTGAAAATCACAATGTTTAATTGGTATATCATATGTAAATGACCATTTTCCATAGCGAACTGTTTGTTTACCAGAGAGTAAAAAACCCATCAAAAAAAACATAAAACCCATCAACATCCCATAAAAACCCATCAAAACCGCATTAAAAAAAAACATAAAAACCAGAGGGTAGTATTTGTTTGTATATCAAACCTATCTTAAACCTATCTTAAACCGTTCGGAACGACTTGGATGACGCTTTCCCTCTTTCTCCACACGTGACGGTGGGCAGGTACGATCACCTCCCAAGCCCCGCATTTGGCTGGGAAGCGTTGCTAGGTCTCAATGGCTGTGGCTGTAACTTCCATTTTCACGGGATTTTTACGAAGACTCGTCATTTTTAGTGGGACTTACCATTGATTTAATGGTAATATCTTTAAAAAAAATGCGGGATTCACGCAATTAATCCTACAATGACTGGGGTTCATGGTTATTTGGGATTATTCGTGGTGATTTGGGAATGGTTTATACCACCCAAAAGCGATATCTATCTCATCTATCTTTACGGCAACTGTTGGAACTCCATCTATCCGTCTGTGGATCTGTAAATCCATCTATCTATATTTATGTATGATTAAGCGGTTGAATTGAGTATGCATTCCGAACTGACAGCTATCATTGACATTGCAGCCAACCCAAACACACACACAAATATTTATACGTGTATGTATATATATATATATAATGCATACTGATTCAATGCTGAGACGTACCACAGGGATCATTTTAGCATTTCACTTGGACCTGGCCCTGCAGCATTTGAGGTTAGCAATGCTGTGCAGATCAGGCAGGGTGCTCACACTTGCTGATGGTGAAGGTGACGAGAATAGCGAATCTCCTTAAGTTTTGAAGGCTATGGAGCTCAATTACCAAATTCCTTTCATAGATGTCCTTTTCCCATTGGTTGATTGATAGAGGGGTTTGAAGAAACCCCTTTAACAGGTTTGTTTGATGATAGATGGTATACCAGCTCCCCGCCCCTCTATTTTTACCAAAAGGACATTATTGATGGAACTATATGGATGAAACCTGAACCAAAAATTACGATGGTTAAAGATCCACCATTTTTCATGGGTAAATCCACGATTTCGACTGGGCCATTTTCCATGTCGCTGTTTGTATGAATGTTGACTCAGAGGGTACTTCCTTGGAGCTGATCGGGATGGCCCCCGTTAAACAACGGGTGATATCCCATCAGGATGGTGCCCCCCAGTTATAGCTGGTTGGGGATATCTATTTTCTTGGCTTTACCCTCCAGTAATCTAACATAGCTGTGGAAAATGGATCATTTAGTTCGATGATTTACTGGTTTGGAACCATGGAATTTTATGACTTTCCACATGTTGCGGCACTGCGGCAGCTGCTGTGCCAAGGGAGCATGGGAAGTTGTCCGTGCTATTTTCCATATGTTGGGAATTTCATCATCCCAACTGACGGACTCATTTTTTGCAAGATGGTTGAAACCACCAACCAGATAAGTTTAGTTATTTGTTGGTTTATACAATCCCCAGTAACTAGTGCGTTATATCTACCATAAAAGCATAGTTAATTCAGCCACTTTTTTCAGGCACCTGAACGCTATCGAACGGGCCCCATCAGAATCCTGCGAGCTGATGTTGTGGTCATGATGTGGTCAAAACTCCCAAGGAAGAAGCTACGTCAAGGCCTCATCAGGACTGCATCCGTCATTTTGATCATAGGTTCAATGGATTGGTTTGAGGGAAAATCTACAGGAAACCATAGATTTTCCCATTAAATATGGGGCTTTCCTGTAAATTTTCCCTTAAACCAATCCATTCATAGGTATACCAAGAAATCTGGATGAATTCTGTAGCTCACTGTGAATATCTGTGAAGTCAAGAGGAATGGTTAGGGATCCTTAGGATCCAGGGAATCCCCAAGTGATCCAACATTTCAGCTGTCAATGGAAATCAGGCAGATAATTTTATCATCAACCCAATTGTAGAAGGTTTTGGATACCAGCTGGTAAAATTGGGTAAATGGTGTGTGGTTTTATTATTGGGTTTACGGCATGTCCTGCGAGTGGCTAACACAAATCCGTAGTTTGAGGGGTGACGCAGCCCAACGGAACATCATTCAAACGTATGGAAAAGAACGGCCAGTTCACGGTTCCTGGAACATGATACACCTAGGCTTCAAATTGTTCGCACTGTGTGGTTTGGATCTCAAGATATCTCAAGTAATTAAGTCGTTTTCTTATGTTTTCTTGGGATGTACCCTTTGGTTATTTAACATAGCCATGGTATAGATGGCCCATAGAAATAGATGGTTTACCTATTACAAATGGTGATTTTCCATGGCGAACTGTTAGTCATAACCAGATGGTATGCTGAAAAAAAGCTATCCGTTCGGATCTTCGAATCCTTGCGGCTTGAAAAAGATGGAAACTCTACTGGAACCACCCCGTTCTCTCGCATTTGGATGGTAAAACCATGGTGGAATCGCGAAGATGTTTCCAATCCATTGACAAATGGCATGGTGATCCCCACGGTTTTTTTCCAGGGATTGGCGATGTTTGGAGTTTCAAGGAGTAGGATCCCAATTTTTTTTGTGATAAAAGGCAGTTTCCGTTGCCTTTTCGAAAAGATAGCTTCAATCTTAGGAACCGCCATGGATTTGGGAATTTGGGGGTGGATTCGAATGGGTTACATCTGGAGAATTCATGAAAGCCAATGGGATGTTATTTATAAATGGTTGACCATTCCATTACCCCAACTTTGGCAGGAATAAGGTGCCGAGCATGGTGGCTATTGCAGCCAAGGTGCCTGGGTATTCTGTGAGGTGACGAGGTGATGGGGCTGGTATCCCAGTTGAGCAGTGGATGTTTATCAACCCTGGTTGATGATCGTAGGGGATTATAAATTATAGGATTATAGGTACCCTCTGGAAATTTAACATAGCTATTGAAAATGGCCATAGAAATAGTTGATTTGCCCATTAATAGCATGGTGATTTTCCATAGCAAACTGTTAATTTACCAGAGGGTACCAATAGTTTGGGAATATCACAATCCGTGAGAGGAATACCTATGTCAACATACCAGTACAAAAGGACAACACAGAAGCAAAACTTGGTTGTGAGGCACGACTTGCTGTTGGCTATGGGGTGTTTCTTGCGGGGTATGCTCCTGCTCCTACCATGCTACGGCCCTATGGCATGGATGATTGCAAATGAAGGAACCAAGCAGCCGCGGGGATCCTAGAAGGTGTCTCTTGCTCATGTTGGATGCAATAAATCAGTGGCTGAATCCGGATTAATGTGGTAAACCATGATAAACCGATAAACCCAACAATACTCCTATCATTTGGGAATGGTTTATAGCATACAAAGGGTGATATCGGGATTAGTTTATACCATCTGGTTATTTAACATAGCCATGGAAAATCGCCATGTTTAATAGGTAAACCATCTATAAATGGGCCATCCATACCATGGCTATGTTAGTCATAACCAGAGGGTAATTGGCTTTACGACAGGCAAAAACGAAGTTCCATCAGCAGTGTGAGGTCGAACTCGGCGCCTTTTCGAAGCTGTACGAAAACCAAAGAATAGCCATCAAAAAGGGCCGAAATCAGCAACAATAGCCATGCAAATGCGGCATCAAACTTGGTAATGGGCATGTTACCGATGAACAATGGGAAATTTTGCCCAGAAATATCAGGTGTTTGGTCGATCGCAACTCGGGGAATTTTTCGGTGGGTCATGGGGCCCATGAAACCCACCAAGTATCGGATCTTCGGTAGCCTCACTTCGCTGGCATGGTTGTTTCCCTCATGCTCACATTGTTAGTACCCTCTGGTTATTTAACATAGCCATTATAAATGGAGGTTTATAGCTGGGAAAATTATCTATAAATGGGCCATTTTCCATGGCTATGTTAAATATCCAGAGGGTAACCATTTTGCCGAGAAATGAAGGTGCTGGCAGGCAATTGCTGGAGGGTGTGAAACTTTCAACTGGAAGGTAACTTCCGTAGCCGCGTAGCCCAATAGTTACTGCGGATATCATGGGGTATCTATGAAAAACCTGTAGGTTTTCCCTCACACCGACTCACACCCATTGATTTTGAACTTCTTCTAAAATCACATTGTTTACCCCTTGGTGAGCTAACATATACATATATATAACTACATATAACTATATATATAGAGAAAAATACTAATTTTACTAGGTAAATCATCTAGACATGATCCATTTTCCATAGCAAACGTTCAGTTTCCTGGAAGGTAAGTGTCCAACCTTCCACAGGAAAAGTTGGCAGCTTTGCTGCAGCAGTATGGTGATGCCTTGCTGCTTGGCCCTCTCTTGGCAGTAACAGTAAGATGCGCCAACATATTCTGGAAGTCCTCTTCGTGGAATATGTGAATATCATCATTATCACATATCATCATCATCATCATCATCATCATCACCAGCATCATCATCATCATCATCATCATGAATATGATAATCATTCTGATATCATACGTATGTGAATAATATTATATCATTTGATATGATAAATAATAGGAAATTCTGTTCATTCCTTTCTAGAATGTTCAAGGATGGCGAAGCTCCATAGTATATCATAGATCCGTTAGTTTTTCTGAAAGTTCACATGAAGTTCATGGATTTTTGGTCCCCTTTGGTCGTATCGTCCCTAGAAACCCAGGTTACGTTTGGATGATGCTGGGCCAGTGAGCAAGGCCGTGGAGAAACGAGCCTCGCAAGTCATTGTGCCCTGGACATCAATTGGAGCCTTTTTGGATTTTAATGTGCACACAGATATATATATATATATATATGTACACTGTATATCATTGTGGTGTATTTTTGAAACATAAACACAATACGGATGGATCGATGGATCGATCGATAGGTAGACGGATGAAGATAGAGATACAGATGGAGATAGAGATAGAGATAGATGGATGGAGAGACAGAGAGATTCGATAGACAGAAAATTATAGTTACACTACTGTTGGCCCGGTTGGCATGATTTATCCAGGTGGCAATCGGACATGTTTTTTTCCTTCGGAGCCTCGATGCCAAGGCTGCCGGCTCGTACTACGACACGGTGGAGGCCTTTGTTTCGGAGGCGCCGTTTTTGGGTTCATCCCGTCCCTTAAAAGGGGCGCCTCTTGGTGTTAGCAACCCACCATGGATAGAAAATTATTAAATTGAAGTTGAAACCTTGGAATGGATATGTGGCAACTATCATCATCATCATCATCATCATCATCACCAGCATCATCATCATCATCATCATCATCATCATCATCGTCATCGTTTCAGGTATTTTTTGGGAGGCGCTTGGAGGCCCTTAGATTTATATATGGAGCTTTCCAAAAATAGGGAACCACCCAAAAATCACCCAACATTCATTTTAGATCGACCAAAGATTTATGGGTATCACGGGATGGCCCCATTGAAACTTCAGGAAGGAACCATCCTGAAAGAATTTTGAAAGTCGTCATAGGGCCATAAGGATCATGGATGATCATGGATGCTCATGGCAGATTTTAGCAGGGGCTTTTCCCAGTTTTGATTCCAAAAAAAACCACCTAACAACCAAAGATAGCCTCTGGTAAACATACTAAAAACTATGGAAAATCACCATGCTATTCATGGGAAAACTCACTATGTCTATGGCCATTTTCAATAGCAATTTTGACATAACCAGAGGGTATCTGGAAACATTTTTTTGGTGGTCAAGGTTTACGGCAACCTTGGCCCTGTGGAAGAAGAAATGGCGGATTTCAGGCCGGCCATTTGGGATCCATGTGGGACTGTGATGGACTGTGCCCTCTCCAATGACTCCAGTAGTCCAAGGATTTTGGTTTCGGAAGATTTCTGTTTTCTAATCCCAGATGCGAACCATGGTGCTGGGTAATATATATATATATCTATAGTTAATGGGGGTTATAAATCTATAAACCAGTTCATAGTTAATGGTGGAAGATATACCCAGATGCGAACCATGGTGCTGGAATATATTTACCAACATTTACACCAAAAATGGCCCAGTTTTGTAGGTAAATATACCGTATCACCATGGTTCGCATTTGGGAATGGTGTCCGCTCACTGAGCTGGCCGGTGGGTATTTTTGCAGTGCCCGGGTTCGTTCACCTGGAATGAGGATATGGCGTTTTACGGGCACGGCATTTCTTAGTGGACCCCCACTGATGTACCCTCTGGTAAACATACAAAAAGCTATTGAAAATGGCCATTTATAGTGAGTTTTCCCATAAAAAATGGTGATTTTCCATAGTTATGATTTTCCATAGTTACGTTAGTTTACCAGAGAGTACTTGAAGGGATTGTAATGACCAAGAGCAATCCTAACCTCGAAATCTCGTCGATTCTTCTCCACTTGCCAAACGCTGTGGAGGAGTCGTGTATGCCTAAGTGGCTCGCATAGACTGTTGTGTTCATGTTGCTTCTACCCTCTGGTTATGACTAACATAGCCATGGTATAGATGGCCCATTTATAGAGGTTTACCTATTAAAAATGGTGATTTTCCATGGCTATGTTAAATAACCAGATGGTATATCAGGTCTCTGATTTGAACAGGTCCATCTGAACAATGAAAACTGGCAAAAACTCATTGACTTGACTTGGCAATGCATGCAAATTCCTGCACTCTTCTCTTGTGTTTTCCATTCTTAACGATAATCATATGCATACTATATATTTGATTAGAGGTAGCTATACTTCATCTTCCTTGCGATTCCCTCCATGTTTAGTTTAAAAACTAACAAAAAAACATCAAACCCTTAGGATTTTCATGGACATTCCAGCTGGAAATATCTTGAGAGCCAGGAGTGCGGTGGAAGATTTGGATGATGATATCTCTCGCGCTGAAAGGTGCCGGAAATCTTGCCGAAATGATCGGAACATGCGCAAAAAACTGTTGGTGAAATATATGGTGAATGATAGCAACTTTTCTTTGGAAAAAAACGGGTAATTTAAGATGAAGTTGATATTAAAGATCAGCCCTCTGACTTTTTCACTACAGATGCCCTAAGGGCGTTCCTTGTATTTGGATGTATTTTGGGGTGTTGGGTCCCGAGATCAATCCTGAGATCAATGGTTTTCCAGTGCCACGGAAAAAAGGGGCGAAGCCCGAGGGAAAACGAGATCCTCAGGGAATGTTCACTTCCATTGAAGACCTCCCCCCAAAATGGATGGTTCAAAAACCTTCAGAAACGATGTTTCGTCTGTATTCTACCGAAGCTGCTCCCCCAAGAAAAACATCATGTTCAATTTTTCAAGATAATGACACCCAATTCAGATAAAAACATGTAAAACATGTCGAAGGATGTCCGAACTCCGGAGTTTATTGGTAATGCATGGTAATCCCATAAACTCAATCACACACTAGCCCCAATATCACCAGAAATGGGTTGTAAAAATCATCCCAAATGGTCGGTTTGTGCCGGTGGCTACACGGCTACGAATCCCACATTATTTTAGGATATCATCATTAAATCACCATTCAATCCCATTAAATCATAATTTGTCATTGTAAAATTCCATCAAACATCACCATGAAATCACCCAAACAAATGATGCCATGCCCAGCGGTACTTGGAGGAGAAGGTCTTCGACCCTGGTGAGTGCTTTGAGCACCATGCGTCACTTGGAACTTTTGGAACTTTTGGAACTTGGAACTGGACCTTGTTTGAGGTGTTTCGAACTCATAACTTATGCTGGAGGAGCTTAACAGCTTAACGCTTGGAGACTACTTAGGTCTACTTAGTTGCTCAGTTCGTTGAACTTAGACTGTTCCAGTTTAGATGTAACATGATGTAAGCTTGTAATGTGGGTAAAACAGCAATAAACCACCCATTTTGGAATGGTTCTAATGGTGAAATTGGGAATAGTTCATTATTGTGACTGTGTTATCAATATTAAGTTAAACTTATGTTTTGAAACTTAACTTGGACTTAAAGACTTACACGTGGACCCTCATTGGGTTTGAATTTACTGGAATTGCGATTGGAATAGAAATTGAAATAGACTGGAAAGTTGGATTTGATGTTTCATTCAACTTCCATGATGTGTTTGATGTTCACGATGTTTAACAAAAAGACGTTGAATTCACGAGGGTTGCATGAGGTTTCTGACGTTTCTTGAAGCTTCAACATGCTTCAACTGCTTCCAGTTGATTCAGGTCAAGCCATCTTTGAGAATTGTCTCATGCCACAGACCAGGAGAACTTGGAAATGGAAGGGGTGGAAGATGGTCATAGATGGTCATAGAAGTGGAAGGGTCGCCCCTGGATCAATGGTTGGTCAACCCAACATGTTGGACACTAGTTTCATTTGTGGAAAACCAAAAAATGATGCGTGGATTTTCTTCACAACCTCATCCCCCCGTGGAACCACAGAATCAGAAAACAGCGGCCAGACAATTTTTTATTTTTTTGGCTGATTCCAAAATTGGGAACCCAAAAATTGTGTGAGAAAAAATGCATGCAACTACAAAAACATAGACATATTGGATCTTGGGGCAGAATTCTGCAGCAGAGAGAACAGGTTATATCGAGTTTTTATCAGATGTTTGATGTGTTTTCCTGTGAGGAGGAGGAGTTCGCGAGGTCTGTGATTACTTCCGATGACCTCCCGTTCGCAGGTGGATCGAATATGAATTCGTCGCTTTTTTGGACTGTCGCAGCACGTGTGACATCCACTATGTCTGGTGCCATGTGGCCATCAATATATGCTTCCCTGGGGTTATACAAGTTATACATCGATGATTCTTCATGAAATGCGGTAAGACTAATACCCTCTATACAGACTCTATATCTATTCTTGCACAGACAATTCTGAATTCTGAATGTGATTGTAAGTGGCCATATGGTAGATGCATTCATGGTTCAATCTGCATGTTGGTTTGCAAAGTGGTAATTGCCTATTGCTTGATGCCAGCGAAATGAGCATGATACAGGATGGCAAGGATCACAACAGCCAACGAACCATGAAAGCTACACCGGACAATGCATGGATTTGCATGTTCTTGTCTCCTGCACGCGCAGCCGGCGCCGAAGATTTCCCCCACCACTATCTAGAACTTTTTTTTTGCATGTGGATGTAGAATTGCCATGTTTTGTTGTGATTTTGAGCTGTATTTAGGTGCCTTATTTGTTTTGAGTTTGACATGATTTGATTTTTTTCTGCTTCCAAGATCTTCCAAGTTCTCAGTATCTCAACATTCCTTAGACAAACTTCTCCAAGTCGCGGTCAGAAATCCTTGGGTCTTCGCCGGCTCAAAAAAATGGCTGGAGGCTCTATTGAGAGCAGCAGCGAGATTCAACGAAAGTTGAGCTACGCACCGCTTCAAACTCATCAGGATCTGAGTTATCTGATAGCAAGAAAATGTCTTGGAATAAGACAACATATCAATGGGAGATCTTCAGGATCCAATTGATGGAGGTACGTTGGTACCATATAAGACCATATTTTGAGGGGATATTCCCTGAAAATTAGGCCTCAAAAATAGGCCTTATATATGGTAGGTACCTCCAATTTAGGTTCCTGAAATGGCCACTGAAACATAATCATCAATGTGTTTTTTTTTTGGGGGGGGGATGCCAGGATACCCTAGTAATCCCTAGTAGTTCTGGAGAAGCTCATAGAAAAACACATGAAAACTCATCCAGAGACGATACGAGTGAGGATTAAGGCTGCTGGTATCAAGAAATGCCTATGACCAACAACAACAACAACAACAACAACAACAACAACAACAACAACAACAACAACACAGAACAACCATGCTTGGGCTGGTTGAAATTTGGTGTATATTATAGATATGTACACATATGACATATTTGATTATGCATTAGGTAAAAATGCTGATATATTTGATGTATTTCTATGGTCTTACCGTTTATATATATAATTATATATATATGATTATTTCCACCAAGAAACATGTTACCCTTTGGTTATTTAACATAGCCATGGTATAGATGGCCCATTTATAGATGGTTTACCTATTACAAATGGTGATTTTCCATGGCGAACTGTTAAATAACCAGATGGTAAAACCCCATCAGCCCGAAGATGCCTGCAATGTGTTTTTCAGCAAATTCTCTGAGAAACCCTTGCAGATTATAGTTGCCTCACTTGTGACCGATCCCTGGAACCATGGTTTAGATAGGGAATCATCCCCAAATGGCTAAACATATCAGCTATGTTCAGTCAGATAGTCTGATAAACCCAACAATAATGGGGGCAATGTGTGAGAGATTGTACTGTACCCAGATTTGTTGTTGCTGATGAGTCTGCCTGTTCCTTGTTGCGCCAAAGGCGCTACTTTGACCGAAGCTTTTCGATCGCCTGTTTGGCCGAAGTCGTTTAGCTCCAAGTGGTGGAAATCTGTAGAAAAAAGTGGGGAATACCCTCCGGTGTCAAACATGGCTGACCTGAAAATTGCCTATTTTTCTTGATGTTTTTCCTAGTTTTTTCAACCTCCGTTTTCCGTTTTTTCCCAGCTAGAAGCTGCCATTTACAAGGGATTTGCCAGCCAGCCACCTTTGACCTGGGCCGTGATTCCATGCATTAAGCCATTGGGAAATCGTGGGACATTAGGGAAATCGCCGGAAACTACATGTTGAAGTGCACACTCATTTTTCGGCACAGCCTTGCAATTCTTTCCTTCAACCAGTCCAATGACCAGGAAATGATCGCATTTTTCTATGTTATTCTCACAGAAAAGACCTGTTTTCACCATCTTCTTCATACGCGGAACTCAGTGTACGCCCTGAAACTGCCACTTGGACAGAGACTTGATCCCGAAGAACGGGGGCAGCGTGTGGAAAATGACGTAAAAATGGCGGCGGTTTGGGAACCCAACCATTGCTGGGTGGAACCGCCATGACAATGGATGACAGTGGCGCATGACCATCTGCAGCTATATATGGATAGATTTATCGATCTAGGGCTATACCGATGTCGAAGTCAATAGATATTGTCTGGTTGGTGGTTTGGAACATTTTTCCATATATTGGGAATGTCATCATCCCAACTGACGAACTCATATTTTTCAGAGGGGTAGGTCAACCACCAACCAGTTGTGTTTAACCTGAGTGAAGATATGAACTCCAGATTTATAGCCAGTGATGCCTGCTGTTGATATGTGTTTTTCCCTTCGCTTTTCATAAAAATCATCTGAGTGGTTTCTGGTCTGATCTGTCTCGACAAGTCCCAACTCCCGTCATTTATAAATTTGATCACGACCGAGCCCTGCGACCGAGCCCTGGAATCATGGTTTTTATAGGGGAATCATCCCCAAATGGCCGCAATTCATTCAGGTTAGTGAAATATTATAATTTACCCAGGGATATATATATATATATTTATATTTATATATATATTCCAGCGAATTCAAATCCATCATCTAGATCATTTTCCTGAGGAGACCTCGGCTATTCTCCATATTTTCTGGTTGGTGCTTTGGAACATGGCTTTTATTTTCCATAATAAAAAAGGGATGTCATCCTTCCCATTGACGAACTCCATCATTTTTCAAGATGGGCACATTGCACCACCAACCAGTTTGTCACTATACCAGAGGGTGATACATCTTCTGCTGCTCAATGGCCATTTCAGGAACCTAAATTGGAGGTACCTACCGCATATAAGGCTTAAAGGCCTCTTTTTCAGGCTAAATCTCAGGGAATATCCCCACAAAATATGGCCTGAAATATGGTACTAACGTACCTCCATCAATTGGATCCTGGAGATCTCCCATTGCTGCTGAAAGCTGCATTTTTCGGAAAAATGCAGCGGCGCCGTGTCCCAAGATGTCCCGGGATGTCCCGAGGACACGGCTGACACCATCGAGCGCTGGTACAAGGCACGGTGATGGCCAGCGTTGGATGTTAGAAGAGTTTACCCTCTGGTAAACATACAAAAAGTATGGAAAATCACCTTTTTCAATGGATAAATCCACTATAAATCACCATTTTCAATAGCTATGTTAAATTACCAGAGGCTAATACCCAACTGGCTGGAAACCCATCATATGCCAACATTTACCAATCCGGGGAGGGTTCCAACGGTTCCAACTAGTTTTCATATCCCGAACCATCGAACCATGGTGCTGGAATTACCAACATTTACCCTATAAGCAGTTGCACCATACCATGATAGCCATATGTGATGTCATTCCTATACATCCACCATGGTTTTTGGGAAGTGTTGAATATGAACTGAACAGAGGATGGGAATACTAACCATTATTATCCATTATTAACCAAACAGTAACTTAATGGGAATTCCAGGATCCTAAATTGGAGGTACTGTAACATATAAGGCCATATTTTGTGGGGATATTCCCTTAGATAGGCCTTAAAAAGAGGCCTTATATATGTTTGGTTGCTCCAATTTAGGATCCTGGAATGGCCATTGAGTAACTATGTTCAACTATCCAACTATAATGGGGCTGGTGAGATACTGTTATTTTCTTTCGCTATTTTCAACATCATTTCTACCCAACCCGTTGTCATCAAACATAGCGGGCTGCTGGGTCTTCACTAAATGAAGGTTGAGTTTGTCGCTGGGAAAAATCATTGAAACTAAACAGACGGTATTTTCCAACCAGCCACGTTTGATCAAACGTTCCTTTTATATTGGGAAGATGTAGGAATGTCAAAGGTGCCAATGTCAAAACATGGCGCCACATTTTTCACTAAAAGGGGCTATCCACCGAACTGAACTGTGTAGTTTCTGCCTCCGCCAGGATTCCGCCATTCCATGCCATTCCGAAGATGACGAGTGTAGTTTCATCCACCATGTTTTGACCAATGGCACGTCATGGCTATACACACAGCTCCCTACCCCTTAGCCAAATGAGTTTCCTGAGGTGCAACAGATGTGGACCTCGCTGGAGTCTGTCTTCACAGGTGGGATTTTGTGACAAAAACCACGTTAAACTGGGCGATTCAGAGGAGATTTACGGGACAGAAGTGGGAGATGGATATCTATGGATATCTATGAAATTCTATGAAGGTGTTTGCCAACTGGTGATATATCCATCGACATTTGGATGAATTACCATCTGGTTATTTAACATACTGGAAAATCCATGAAATAAATCGAGGTTAGTAGCTGGGAAAATCATCTGTAAATGGGCCATGTTCATCCATTTTCCATAGCTATGTTAAATAACCAGAGGGTACTACAAAATCTGACCTCACGTCGTTTTTGGTCACTGGCATGATGAGTGTCCATTCCTATGGTTTTCTGGAAAATTCAACCAGATATATATATATATTATATATATATATCCATATAGCCATGGTATATATGGTGCAGCGTTGGCCACCCCCCCTCCCCCCCCCCACCAATGGGTATGGGTGGACAGTATCGTCTGGTTCTTCTGGTCCCCCCCCCCTGTGGCCTGTGGTGGTGGTATGTGTATGTATGTATGTATGTATGGAATGTAAGGTAAGGTAAGGTAATGTAAGGTAAGGTAAGGTAAGGTAATGTAAGGTAAGGTAATGTAATGGTATGTTTGTATGTATGTATGTACGTAGGTATGTAGGTAGGTAGGTAGGTATGTAGGTATGTATGTATGTATATACACCACCACAGGGGCAT